CATTGGCACACTATATATATATATATATAAACAGTATATGAGCTATTATTTCTCTATTTTAATACATTTATACGCATTTATATATACAAACAATGAGTGCCCCGTAATTTATCTATACTTATTTCCTTTGGTGTACTGGTATAGTATGTTACAATATGATACCTGACCGAGTTTGAAGCTTATAGGTTAATATTAAAAGGAGATATATAGTGCCATGTATATAAGCAACAATTTCTTACTTTTAACTGTATTATACACACTTAGAAATATACATACAATTTTAGCCTCCTCATTTGTCAATAATTATTTCCTTTGGTATTGTAGCTGACCGAGTTTAAGAATTATAGGTAAAAGAAGCTGCCGGGCCATATATTTAAAAGTAGTATAAAAGCACCAATTTCATCATTTTAACGCTTTTTTTTAATTTATTTTCGCCCTCGAGAAGGAAAGTAAAGGAATATTTTATTTCCGTTACAGCATTGTAAAATAAATTTTTAAAAAAAAACATTTTAATTAAATATATTTTTTTTAAATATTGACTAAGCCCGAGGTTCAAACCACTGATTCTCGGTACTACTACCAATTTGTTACTTCCTGTTACTTATCCCTACCAGTCACACTTGGTGACCTGACTTATAACAAACGAGTCCCGCAGTGGACTGATCGATAAGACACGGTTCCCAGCAGATCACCGAAGTCAAGCATCACCGGCTACGGTCAGTGTGCGGGTGGGTGAGCACTTGGATCAGTCTGCGTAAGGACCGAGGGTGTACGGTATTGGTCCTCGTTAAACTGTGCTACCGTAAAGTGCTCGACTTCGCGTGCAGGTCGTCGGGCTACAGAAGCGGGGGTGCTATCCCTTCCGCAGAGGATCAAAATTGTGATGGCATATCTTCGGACCATCCTCAGGGATGTTTCCCAGACTGTCGCCAATAGCCCATTGTGCAGCTCTAGTGCGACGTAAATTAACAGCAACAATATAACAAACGAATGATTGTATCGTTAAAAATTTCTGATGTGCCAATATGAAATTATTTTTACGTTACAAAAAATTTTTGGCAAATTTTTTAAATGAAATTAATAAAGGCTTTCTTTGTTTCACACCCTGAAAATATTTTGACCGGTGCCTGTGGGTTTTGTTTCAAGTGTAAAGTAAAATTTCAGATTCTAAAAGGATAAAATTACGCAAGTATTTTTCCTTCTAATTTCAGTGAAAAAATTTATTCTAGTAAGTAATTTGAATATTTTTAAATTTTCTTTATTGTCTGAATTATTACAAAAAATAACAGTCCCGCAGTGGAGTGATCATTAAGACATGGTTCTCAGCAGATCACCGAAGTCAAGCATCACTGACTGCGGTCAGTGTGCGGGTGGGTGACCACTTGGATCAGTCTGCGTAGGGACCGAGGGTGTGCGGTATTGGTCCTCAATAAACTGTTCTACTGCAAAGTGCTCGACTTCGCGTGCAGGTCGTCGGGCTACCGAAGAGGGGGTGCCATCCCCTCTGCAGAGGATCAAAATTGTGATGACATGTCTTCGGATCATCCTCAGGGATGTTTCCCAGACTGTCGCCAATAGCCCATTAAGCAGCTCTAGTGCGACGTAAATGAAAAGAGAAGAACACCAACCAACAAAAAATAACAATGTAAAAATTTGAGATATAATTTTATTTTAATGTTTTAGGAAATGAATGACAGAGTTATATTTTAAAAGAAGAAAAAAATTAAGGTAAATGTTCTCAATTCGAATGTAAATTTAACTTTGCAATTAAATTTACATTCGAATTGAGAGCATTTACCTTAATTTTTTTTCTTGCCAAAAAAAATTAAACAAAAAAAAAAAAAAAATACGCAGACTGCTCCTATATTCAATATAGGAGCAATTATATTTCTGCATTTTAACGCTATTATTTCCAGTTATATTTACATACATACTTAAATATTGTGGCCCCTCTAATTTGTCTATAATCATTTCCATTGGTATGGCAGTAAAGAATGTCATAATATAATATACCTGATCGAGTTTGAATATTCTAGGTTAATATTGAGGGAAGGTGCAGTGTAAAAAAGCACCATTTTTTTCTTCATTTTAAGGCTTTTATTATATTTAGCATTTAGAAGAAAAGAAATAATTTTGAGCAAAGGAATATTTTATTTACGTTACAGCATTGTATAAGAAATTTAAAAAAGAAAAAAATAACATTTTAATAAACATAATTTTTAAATCTTGACCATGTCCGGGGTTCGAACTTCGGACTCTCGGGAATAGCAATTAGTTGCTCTCTGTCACTAAAAACTCCAGTCACACTTTGCTGTTTTACTTAAAACATATTTTAAAAAGTTCAGCAATCTTTTTATTTATAATACATTTTTTATTCTTTTTTTTTTAATTTTTAACAACTGAAACTGTATTTTCATTTTAAAGCATGATTCTTAGAATACGCATTTTATTTCTATCCGGAATTCGATGAGATTTGCCTGATACAAAAGTATACATTATTTGATTCATAGAATAGTGAAAAATATTGTTTTCATCTTATCTCTGATTTTTTTTCTTTCTTTACTTTTACACTTTTTTATCAAATGGTTCAATATTTTATTTATTGACTAGAATGAAAGTAAAGTATTCTCGTAACAGCCCTTTGTGATCAAAGTGCTACACAATGTGGCAATTGAAGCAATATGGTCTGCAATATTGCATACAGGCAGTCTGTACTTCCCGGACAAACTGGTGGTACCCAATACAGTCTTTACGCATTGGCACACTAGTGCAAAAACCTAGAGGCCCAAGACAGACAGGAGGGGTCCTTAAGAATCTTACTTTTTTTAAAATTGTATTTAAAAAAAAAAGGCTAAGGATAAACAACATTACCTTATATATTTTTTAAAATAAATATATTCTATTGTATGAAGTGTGCATTTTTTTTTACAAATATTGATTGATTATTATGCTAACACCAATAATTTGAATAGTTTATCACCAAGAAAACTTAAAAAGGCAACCGAAATCTATTTTTCTGCGTTCCGATGTAATTGGACATTGAAAAATATTTTAATAGCAGTTTAGTTTGACATAATAGTTTATACCTTTTAAATTTTTTAAAAAAATTGTTATACTTTAATGTTTATTTATTTAATCATTTTAAGTAACTTAAATGGTTTTTAAAATTATTTTATTATATGAGGAATACAACTGGTTAGCATTGCAATTTTTTTTTTTTTTAAAAATTATGCGTAGTTTAAAAATGGGGAGTTTCGGGAAGAATCGAAATATGTTTAAATTTGTTATAATTATTGCCTCAAAGCTAAATAATGATTTATATTGAAATTTTATGAGAAGCTTTTTAATTAGTTTTTAAACATTGTGGCATTTTAAATCACCACTTCGAATCAAATACAAGTTCTTCTTAACAGTTCAATACCTTATTGTCTTATCATAATTCATCATTGACTAAAATGATTAAATACAAAATTGTTAATCTTAGAATGTTATCGAAGAAAAAATAAACATATTGTGAAAATAAGAGCAACAAAAAAAAAATTTTTTTTTTTTGAAGCTAATGAATAATTAATGTTTTGGTCAAATTTGATATTCATTTGGCAAACTAGAAATTTGCCCCCCCCCCAAAAAAAAAGAAAAAAATATAATATATGTATCTCGGGCTCCGACCTCCAAAAGTGAGCCTGAACTCTTCTAAACTGTGCTCACCACTGCAATTTAAATACTGATATTCAATTTACAAACACAAAAATAAAATTATTATAAATGACTAAAACATAAAAAAGTGTTGTTTTTTTGTGTTACAGCATTACAAAACTTAATTTATTGTTTTAAACTAATGTAAAAGTATGTATGCATTATTCGTCACTTATTACGCATTTCTCTGTGACACTTATGAAAGACTGAATGACTTGGCGTTTTGCCAGAAGTCTTACGCCTTTGATCATGGAAGAATCTTTTCTTTTTTCTTTTAGATTTTGCGTCTCGAAGCTACAACTTAAAGATATCATTAATCAAATATGCAATTGAAATACATGAAAAGAATAAGAAAATATCACGAACTCTTTAATTTTCAATATTTTTAAATGCAACAAAGCAAACAAACAAGATGATTTTAAAAAAATTAAAAATAAAAAGCGAAGCAATTTATTATATTTTGATTAAACTGATATTCTTTGCTAATCTAATATCTAAGGATATTTTTGAATCAAATCAATAGCGATATACACCAGTATAATCGACTTAAATAACAATTAACATAAAGAGGAGGGGAAGGGGATAGCTCGAAAAATAAACGGAAAGAGATCCCAGATGTAAAACATAAACATTAGATTCGCGCATGCGCAGTAGCTAATGTTTATAAGAGGAAATGTATTATCAAACACAAAATAAATAAAAAAGAGTGCTACATTTCTGTTATTCGTTTTTTTTCTCTCGTAAACTTAACAATTCACGGTCTCTATAAATACCGACGAGTTTCAATTTGAACTTTTTCCTATTCCTTTCTTAATATAGAATTAAGAGACAAAAGTTTAAAAAAAAAGAGAAATAAAAAAGGTGAGAAAACATCAGACACGGACATGACGTCAATATATGCGACCACCAACCAGCCATAGTGAAAACATCAGCACGTTTACGGATATATACTTTGTTGTATATTCCGTTTATCAACTTATTATAAATAAGTTATATCAAATATGGAGTCTTTGAGGGAACAAGTAATGATAAATCAGTTTGTACTAGCTGCTGGCTGTGCTAGAGACCAAGCAAAACAACTCTTGCAAGCGGCTCATTGGCAATTTGAGGTATGTTTTTAACAGTACTTATTAAAATATTCACGGTATGTTATTGTTTCTGTTTTTGTTTATCTGGGACATAATTAATTGTACCGGTAGTCATTTTATAATTCAAGCCACTTGTCAGTTATTCATTATTGAATATTCATTTTGATTAGGCATTGTAATGAGTGGAATAAATATTTATTTTTGTTTATTTTGCAGACGGCGCTAAGCATTTTTTTTCAAGAAGCAACAGTGCCTACTTGCCACCATACTCAAAATAGTCGGTTTAATTCTGTAAATGTAAGTATTACTTCAGTTCATTGAAAACACCTTGTTTTATTTACTTGTACAGTTATTGTATAATTTCTAAAAATGTCTTTTGTTTACATTTTGAAAAAAGATAAACACAGTAGATTACGTTCGTTATCTTAATTTATTTACCGTTTAAAATTCAGAGGTCAAGCGAAAAACTCTTTGCGCTGTGATTATTATTTTTTTTAGGAGTTTAATTTGATATTCATATATAATTTTTTTTCAATATTTGTTTTGAATTTTTTTTATAATTAAAATTTCCTGATGTAATATAAAATTTTCTTATGTAACATTACCTTAATAACGTGTTAAAAGTAATATATTATTACAAACAGTCTTAAGAACTTGTGGATTCGTCCTATAATTTGAATTTTTCGTAATCTGGAATATAATAAAACGTGTGTAATTTTTTATATGTTTTTTATTGCTATTAGCACCAATGCAATTTTTTCTTACATTTCTTATTTTTATTTGGTGATATGAAATACATATGTAGGTTTTTTAACATAGGAGTTTTCTCTGTAATGCATTCAAAATTAGTATTAGTTTTAATAATTTCATTTCTCAATTTAATTGATAACTACATAGGTTTTAAATGGAATAATTATGTATTTAAATTAGTAGTGACCTGCTAATGATGAATTCCTCTGATCAAATCGAGTCATTTTTTCCCTTTACTTCTTCTTCTGAAAACTATTTTTAAGACAAATAGCATTTAAGAGTCACTTGTTAATGAGGGTTACATACATTATACATTGAGGGTTACTTGTAATATAATGAGAGGGGGTATTTCTGTACTAGTATTTGTTCAAAGCAACAAAAATCAACGTGTAAAATACCTAATTTTTTAATAACTTGTTCAAAAATAGTTAGGATTTTAACCGTTCAAATCTGTGGCACAGTCATCATCATAGTTGGTCAGACAGCCAAATGTGGGCCAATGCCTTCTGAAGATTTCTCTATAATGACTTCTGATTCTGTGGCATAGGCACCTATATGGAAATTTTCTTGTCTTCAAAATATTTATAGCTAGTTAGTAATAACAGTTACGATATTTGCATAGTGAAATCCTGAAAATACTAAAACTAGTATTTTACTATAAAAATTTTTAAAATATTGTTATTTGATATAAATATGTAAAATATTACTGAATTCATATGCCGCAGAAAAATCCTAAATATAAATAGTAAAATATATAAATATCAGGACCTTTTTCTTTAAATGCCACTAATTTAACTACAACTGTTTCCCAAGCAAATATGTCATTTCTTATTTTAGATTTGGTAAAAGCTTTTATGAAACAAATTTATTTTGATAATAATTTGTTTTCATAACTTTTTAAGATTATTTTATAATGATAATTTTTTTCGTAGTATCAACTAGCGAATGATAAGCTGTCTTTAAGCTTTTTTAAATTATGCATGCTTTAAAAATGCTTTATTTTATGTGCCTTGAGTTTTTGGGGTAATAAAAATGTGTTTAAGTTTGTTAAAATTATTGCATATCATAAAATTGCTTTATTTTATGTATGTGAAGTTTTTTAGTTCCATTTTAAACAGTATGACATGTTATAGGGACACAAAACATTTCAGTGCTGGGGGGCTCTGTTTCATATTAAGACAACCTTGTGAAAAATAATTATTTGAATAAAGTAAATTTAGTTTAATTGTTTAGTTTGAAATATTTTAAAATGTTCAGAAATTATTTTTAGGTTCAATTGTATGTAGGGATATCATTTTCTTTTTAATACAACCTCATAGTTTGCAGAAATATTGTATTAATAGTGATTTCGCTTATGCTTTATATCATGTAAAATTCACTGGAAATCGTAAACTATTTAAGTTATGTATTACAAAAATTTTTATGTTGCAAAAATAATTATATCTGATGAAAAATCAATACCATCTTCATGCACATACGTACCCGAGCAGCGCCTGGGTGCTTCAAGCTCTCAAGGGGCTCTTGAGAATCTTACTTTTTTATAAATTGTATTTAAGAAAAAGCTAAGAATAAATAACATTATATTATATATATTTTAAAATAAATTTATTCTCATGTAAAAAGTGTGCATTTTTTTTTTCTACAAATAGTGATTAACTATTTGTACAAATAGTGATAAACTATTCAAATTCCAATAATTTGAATAGTTTATCGCCAGAAAAACTTAAAAAGTCGACCGAAATTTTTTTTTCTATTTTTAGGTACTCAACTCCTAAGTTATAATGTCTCTAAATATGCTTGACCACCACGAACTCTGTTTAGTATTTATAATTAAGTAAAGTAATAATCGAAAGAGCTTAGAATTACGCAGCACTATGAGGCAGTAGCTTTTAAACTGGTTTTGTCTGATGTGCATTGAAAGATGTTTTAATAACTGATTTTAGTTAGACAAAATACTTCATACATTTTAGATTTTTTTTATTTGTTGTACTCTTGTTTTTTTTTTTTTTTTTTTTTTTTTTTNTTTTTTTTTTTTTTTTTTTATTTAGTTATTTTATTTAGCTTCTTAGTATTGAAAAATTATTTTATTATTTGAGGATTGCAATTGGTTAGCATCTAAATTTTTTTTTTTAAATTATGCATGCTTTAAAAATGCTTTATTTTATGTGCCTTGAGTTTTTGGGGTCATAAAAATGTGTTTAAGTTTGTTAAAATTATTGCATATCATAAAATTGCTTTATTTTATGTATGTGAAGTTTTTTAGTTCAATTTTAAACAGTATGACATGTTATAGGGTTACAAAACATTTCTGTACCGGGGGGCTCTGTTTGCTATTAGGACGACCTTGTGAAAAATAATTATTTGAATAAAGTAAATTTAGTTTAATTTGCAATTTAAATCATTATAACCTGCTAAATTCCCTAAAGCTGCAATACAACTCACAATAATATTGATTTGATTAACTTTGATCATTGCATTAAATTAAAGTACAGTAGATAAATATGAAGAACACCAATATATGCTATTTATAAGAGCTGTAGCATTTCTGTCTCAATTAAGGTACCAATAAGGGAAGGGAAGAGCCATTTTAAGGAAATTCTGTGGGCATTCGACAAATCTGCAGGTAAACTTAAAAAGTCAGTGAAACAGTCCAATTATTAGAATTTTTTTAAAAGCTGACAATTTTATTTCGTAAACTGAAATTACTAAAAACAGTGAACCTTTATTACATTTCGATGTTTTAATGATGTGTATATGTCATAAATATCAACATAAGGAAACAGAAAAATTATAAGTTTTAATTACGATAAAACACTTCATTAATAAAACATTTGTGATTATATCGAAATAAAAGTTATGCAGGGTCTCAATTGTAAAATGTAGACAGAGCACATTTATTATTTATGCTTTTGTTGTGCTGGAAGCATAGTTTTAAAAAATATTGTTGGAGTTTCTAAATAACAAAACCAAACCGGAAAAAAAAAATCTTTTAAAATATATATATATATGTGTGTGTGTGTGTATGTATACATGTATGTAAATAAAACCGTTCTTAAGCAAATAAAATTACACAGAATAGTTTTTCATAAATGTAGAAAAAAATTAGAGGTTACAGTAAAATAAAAATGAAAAAATTGAAGAGAACTTTTATAACTTTAGGTGATGTGATAATTTTAGATTTCACCCACCCTCCCTTCAATGCAATGACTTACTTTCTGATAAAAAGTTTTCAACCCTACAACTCTGGATTTGAAAAATTTGAATGCATACATCGACATTGAACATTTTAATTTGTACTTTCTTACTTTTTGGTAAAAAAGTTTTCAACCTTACAATACTCAATTTGAAAAAAAATGAAACAAATTTGAATGGATGCATCTACATTAAGCATTTTAATTTCTACTTATTTTCTGGTAAAAAAGTTATCAGCTCTACATCACTAGATTTGAAGGGGGGGAATGAAATAAATTTGAATACGCACATCTACATTAAACATTTTAATTTATACTTACTTTCTGATGAAAAAAATTTTCAACCCTACAACACTAGATTTGGATGAAGAAAAAAAATTAAATACATTTGAATGCGTACATCTGCATTAAACATTTTAATATATACTTACTTTCTGGTACGATAGTTTTCAGGCTAACACACACTAGATTTGAAAGAAGAAGAAAAAAAAATGAAAGAAGAAATTTGAATTCGTACATCTACATTGAACATTTTAATTTATGAATTCCTATTCAATACAATTTAGTATTGATGTAGACAATGTATATCATTCCCTACAGTTGTTACCCTCACTGACTGCGATTGGATTAAGTCTATTATGCGTCGATAACAATAGAAGAGGAAAGAAATTTATACCTCCTTGGTTGTTGTTAATTTTCATTCCTTTTTTGCATTGTAAAAGTTAAACTAATATAAAATTTAAGATAAAAATATTAAGACTTAATACAAGATAAATTAATTTAAGATAAAAATATTAAGACTTAATACAAAAAGATCTCCCGTATATGAGTTATCCAATTTCAAATTAAGCAAATTTGCTGTATGTAGTCTTCCTTTTGCCTTGTGAATACATTTACTGTAAGTACGAGATTTTTTATGTTCAAATTTGTTTATTCTTATTTAAATTTAGTGATTTTTCAAGTTCATTACTTATTAATTTTCATACATTTTTTAGTAAATTTTTGATATTACTTGTATAACTTGGTCTTTTGGCTTTTCTTATTTTTAACTTCTTCTCTAATTGATTTTTATTATTTTAGATTTTACAAGCCCTTTTGGCTTACAATTTGCTTGATTTCATTATTCTCTTAGATTTATCTATTTCAACACCTTTTAATTCTTTTTTCTTCTTCTCATTTTTAAAATTATCTTTTATACTTGGTTGCCTTATACTGGTGTTTTATCTCCTTGCATGATTTTACTTTCCTATGGTTTGTTTATTATATATTTAATTTTGTAGTTGCCACTCAACCCACTTTTAGTGGTGAATTATTGTGTAACTTTGCTTATTTGTTGTAATTTGTTTGTACCATTTCCTATTATGTTGTGAAACTTAATCTTTCTTAAATTGTGCCAGCCAGGCCCAAACTTTCCAATTTTAATTACTCTTATAAGAGCCTTTAGCAATATAAGGGCCTTTACAACTTATAATACAACAGGGGTAAAAAAATTACTCTGTATGCCCTATTTAGGGCAGGTCGGTTATTTGTTTATTTTAGCCATTTTTTGATATTGGAACTGGTCCAAATTCGCCATTTTCCGGTATCTATCATTAACAATAAATGATTCCAAAATAAACTACTGATTCAGGTCTGACTGTATCTAAATGTAATAAACAAAAATTATTATTTTTTATTTATTAAATTATCTCTTTCTTCCAGATGATAACTCCTGCAAATACACCTGCCACTCCACCAAACTTTCCAGACACTTTGATGGCTTTTTCCAAACTATCTGCAAACGACAAAGTACCTGGAACCTCCCCTGGACCGTTTACTTATTCCAACTCCCCTCCTCTTAACAATAACAGTAATATGCAACATCAGAGTGCAACCATGGCTGCCTCTGGTCCTCCTCGCTCACAACGATAAAGTGATCACACGCTCACTTTAAAACTGAACTCCTACTTTGTCTTTGTGCTTATCCTCCTACAGGAAAGAGCAATCGCTGTTGGTATGGCAACGGAATGTAGTTGATAAAAGGTTTTGCTGGATGCGCCTTCTAACAGGAGGCACCCGAACAAAATATAAGGTCACACGTGGAATGTGTGTGCTTCATCCTGTATCAATGTATATCGTAGGAACTGTGTACCATTTTCGCCCCATCCTTTACTGTGTGTGTTTTTTGTGATAATCTTTAACTCTTTACCTCAGTCCTTCACGATTTCCATTTTCAAGGGGCCTAGTCAACTATTCAGTCAAAACAAAAAAAGAAGAAAGAAAGAAGTATTTTCTTTCAACGTCATAAAAACAAACTGGATTTTTATCTTTGTCGTTAGTCATCAAACTTTAACATTTGTCACATAAAAAATTGGAAGAAGCACGTGTTAAGTGATGCTAATGATGTTGGGTTTTGTTTTTTTCTTCTTCAGTACAAATCTGAGGAGCTTTTCTTATATCAGTAGTAATTCAGATGGTTGTGAAAAAGTTAAGCAAGAATATTGAAAGATGTATTTATTTTTCTGGAACTTACTTTGATCAGAATGGAGATCCTACACTGTAAAATTATTTGTTTTATTTTTCTCGCATTCGTTTTGTAGTGCTTATTTTAAACAAAAGAAGAACTGAAAAGTTGTGAGGAAGATCTTTCATTTTTTAGCAGCTCATTGAAAAGAATGCCTATAAATATATATTTATATATATATGATGTGGACATTTAAAACATTTTTCGAATGTGTGTTTGAATAAAGCACGTTTGTTAAGTCTACTTTCAAATTTTTTTGATTACTTATGTTTTCACATTTTAAATAGACCTTGTTTAAACACTTTATTTTTGTTTCATTATAAAGGACTTAGAACAATGATATGTCTCATTTTTTAATTGTTTTGGAGTGCATTTTTGTTGAATAAGGCCACAAAATCTTGGTATGCAATTAGATGTACTTTGTACTGTGCTGTTATACAGGGGAAATTCAGGAAAGCTTTGAAATATAAATGAAAACAATATCAAGGCACAGTGAGATATGAAAATGTCATCTTGGAAAAAAGTGTTGCTTATCACTATATTGCCCAAAGCTATTCAAATTACAGTCTTATAGGAAGAGTCTCAAAAAGTCATTTTTTTTTTTAATATTTTGCTTTCCATAATGGCTGCTTTTTTTCTTTTTTTTTTTTTTCTTTTTTAGAATTCTTGTCGAAAACATAATGCTCATAAGAAAGTCCAAATTAAAGGAAAAAGAACAAAATTTTTCATTCTAACCAATCTTCAAACAAATCGTAAATGATGTTTAACCAATCCTAAATCATCATTAAGGTTGGCAAGTGCAAAAAGAGTTTAAAAGTATCTAAAACCATTTTTGTTATGGGATGAAAATTTAAAATCAGAAAAACCTTGCAAAATCAGAATGCATGTCCAGGCTTAAAAAAACTATTTTTTGATTATTTTAATCAGGGTTTGGTAAAAACCTTGTTGGAAATGGGAAAAAATCTGGTAAACAATATTAATGCATGTTTATTTACAGATATAGTGGTTTATTATTTATAACTGATTAGAATATATATTACTTCTATACAGTGGGATACATAAATTTTGGTGCGGCCGTCTGCAAGATTTATAAATGCACCCTATCTTAGACTTAAATTTTTGAAAAATTTAATATTAAATATTTACATTTTAATTTAAATTATTTTATTAAGGAATTAATAATTGCAATGGAGAGGCAGAATTTAAACAAATGCCAAATTGGAACATTGTAAGCACTTGGCAATTTACCACTTTTAAATAAAATAATCTTAACTTAGCTACAAACTCTACTGGATTTACCAGGAAACTACTGGATTTTGACAGTTTCTCCTGATCTACTGGTTTAATAAAAATTCTCCTTTTTTTTGTATATTTTAGAAAATTCCATAAAACGAGTTCCCTTAGTTTCCTTTTTAAAAAAAATTCCGATTGAAATAGAATTTTTGTGCAGACTTGCTTGCGTGAATATTTAAAATAAGTGCCACTAATACATAATAAAGCGAGCCTCATTTATAAAATTTTGTTGACTGTCTTTGATGAATTGAATGCCTATTACTATTAAAAATTATGAATAAATAAAATACATAACATTTCAAGATCATTTAATGTGAAATCAAAACTGAAAATATTGTGTTTTTTTTATTTTTTATTTTAAAGACTATAAATATCCCTAAAATTCCCTATGTGTAAAATATTGAGTATATTTTGCAACAATTATCATGAAATTTATATTATTTTTTAAATTCTACTGGATTTTTTCCTATCCGTATTGGCAGCTGTGTCTTAAAAATAGAAAATTATTCACTTTATTACCATAATATATTCAAAGTTTAATTAAAGGTTATTCTTATTTGAGAAGTGAATTAAAAAATATTTTTTAAAAGAAAAAAAATATTTTTATTGTAATCCATGTAGTAGGGGTGTATGACATGTTGTATGATAATTTTAACTTAAGTATCAGTGTTTCAGAGGGAATTCGTATTGTCAGTCAACTTAGTAAAATATTGTATGAAATTGAATTTTTTTAAAAATAATTATAATTCTTCTTTTTATTACCTTAACTCTTACTTTTCATCAGTGAATTTAGTTATATATTTGCATAAAATTGAATACTTTTAAATGCTAAAATTTATTTAAAACTGAAAAATAACTGATAGTTATCAAAAATAAAATATTTCCTTCTCAAAGAACAGATTTGTTGAAATAAATTTAAAGTGATGGTTTTTTTAATTATATAAAAGTTTATGTTAATACATATTAACTCTAATGTTCTTAAATGAGAGTAAAAAATAGATGAATATTTTATTGAGCAGCATAAATGCAAATTATATTATAATCAAATTGTATGGGGTCTAAAATGATTTAAAATAAAACTATCACATCATGACTTTAAATAAGGCTCAACATTCAGTTGGAATTCAGCTCAGTGTATTTTTATCTTTAGGATATTTATATTTAGAGAATTATAAGAGATTTTATGAATGTTAAATCTTCAAGTAAGTTTTTGAGCTCTTTTTCAAGTTGCAAAAAATTTGATATAAAGTTCAAAGACAGTATACAGTTTATGAAACCCACATTCGAATTTCACATGTTATAATAATATTGTATTAAAAATATTGAGATTTTGAAAAAATGTGGAAATATCTGGTTGCAAATAGAAGAAAAAAGTGAATTTGAATTGACGCTGGAATTGGCACATATAAAGCTCATCAAAAGATGTGATTAAAATGCCCGATTCGAAAACCTAACGTCTTTATAATACCAGATTAAAAATATCAAGATTTTCGAAATCCCGTAAAAAAAGCATGGCAATAATTGTTGCAAAAAGATTTTTAAAAAAACTATTAACTTTGCGATGCCTCTTAGATGTATACATATATATACACCTACAATAATGAAAGAGGAGTTTTTGACATCTTTTTAAATTTCTCAAGAAATACTTTAAGGATTACTTTTCAACTTTAGAGGTGTTTAGTTCATACGATTTTTCATACTTAGCAATAAAATTGGATGCTTTCAGAGGTTTGAAAGACTTACAATAAGTTACAAAGGAAAACAGGTATTTTTGAACACCCTATGCCAGAAAATCAAGCGAAAAACGTGTAACTTGTATTGATTTTTTTAGTTGTTCTTTTTAATAATAACATAAAGTTTCATAAATCTTGAGTAAATATTTATGGAAATATGAACATTTTTATAAACTAATTTGTTTGGTTTTTTTGCTATAATCTCATAAATATTCAATGGAATTAAATAAAAATTTTGGATTAACTTAAAATTACTTACAAAATTGTTGATTTAAAATTGTTAAAAACTGCACAAGATAATGAGTATTTGAGCTATTTCTTTCATACTGCACATGCAGTGAAAAAATTTATAAAAGTTTTTTCATAATTTTGTCTGGAATCGTATTTGGCAACCAATGATTAAAACTTTATTTGAATATCTTAAAAATTTAAAATGTTCCAAGCAATATTCTAAGTAGTTTTAGTTAGTAGTATTAAAGATATATCCAAGTAGCATTAAAGAAAGCTCAAAACTATGAGGGGTTGTCCAAAAATTTCCTCTTTTACTATTAAACAAGGTTAAGCTTTATTAAAAATGAAACCGGTATTGTGGGGAATCACCCCCAGAAGAGTATGTTTTCTTTCTCTATATCATCAAAGTTTAGTTTCCAGATGATTATTGTAAAGTATAATTTGTTACTAAATTTTGTCTTATGGTGCAAAATAAAATTTGTGAAAACCCCTGATCAATTTCAGCTTTCTTTTGAAAAATACAAATACTGCTTAAAAAATTGCTTGAAATTTTTTAAATTTATATGATATTTAAATCAAATTGTATTTTATTTGTTGCCAAATTCGTTTCACTACAAAATTATGAAAAATCTTTTTAAAATTTTTTTCAGTGCATGCACAGTATAAAAGAATTATCTTTAATGCTCATAACTTGCGAAATTTTTAAAAATTTTTTTTGAAATTTTGAATTGACAATTTCGTAATTAATCTTAAACTGCTCAAAATTTTGTTTAATTCCGTTGGATATCTATAAAGTTGTAATAAAAAAACGTAAGACGAAACAAAAACATTTTTTTTTATAAAAATGTTCATATCTCCATAAATATTTACTCTAGGTTTACAAAACTTTTTTAAATTAGTAAAACTAACAACTAAAATAATCGATACAAGTTGCGAGTTTTTCGCTTGATTTTCTGACATAGGGTGTTCAAAAATACTTCTTTCGTAATTTATTGTAGGTCTTCCAAATCTCTGAAAGTTTTACATTTTGTTGCTAAGTATGAAAATTTACGGGAACTAAACATCTCTAAATTACAAAATAATCCTTTAAGTATTTCTCAAGAAAAGTAAAAAAATTTCAAAAATTGAAAGTTTCTATTTCATATATATATGATGTAAGCTATCCCCTAAATTGTTATCAGGGTGCGTAGCGTTTGTAAAAAGTACTTAAAGGTGCTTTTTTAGGGATTTCGTTTTTAAAAGCTTTTAGAGGTGCATTTTTCAGTTGGCNGATAATTAAAAAAATTTCAAAAATTGAAAGTTTCTATTTCATATATATATGATGTAAGCTATCTCCTAAATTGTAATTGTGAAGCTAATTATTCACATAGCCAGGTGAGGCATATCTTCTCAATACTAAAAACTTAGAAAATGATCTGTCTAATAGATTCTAAATATGAGCCAATAACCATTAATTAAAATCATGTTTACAAATTACTTTATTGTATTGTATCATTGTATACCATAACTTTATTACAGCTGTATTCATATACAGAAAATAACTGAATAACTGGAAAGCTCAAATAAGCAGAATTATGGAATTTTTAAAATATATATATATGTATTATTTATATATATTTTTAAAAAATAATATATATATAGTAATAGTAATTTTTTTCTTTCCTTTTTTTTTATAAAAGAATTATTGGAACATTAAAAAATATACAGTAGTGATATGGGTAAGGTAAAATAAGAATTTACCGTACCACTCTCTTTTGTCATTTATTTTAATAAAATTAGGAAAAAATAATTTATTTTAATTATATCATTTTGTATGTACGTTTTTAATATCAAAATTTTCCACAAAAAAAAACATTTGTTCTAATGAATTAAAAGTATAAAAAATAATTTTTTATGTATTAAGATTTCAAAAATCAGAAGAACAACAAAAATGAATATCAATGACGTACACATTAAAAATTAAGATAAAAATGTTATTATCAAGTAAGAAGGCCAAACCACTGACGATATATAAATACACAAATGTTTCATTTGCGCCAAATTTTAGGTTAATTTATAAATCAATGTATTATAAACATTAAAAAATATATGTTTATGGCACAACCAAGTTTTGTATAGTGGATCAAATAGAAAATTAATAGACAATAAAGAAAATAATTAAAAAAAGACTGGACTAAGGACAATTTTAAGGTTAAATATTCTTTAAAAAAAAAATTGAGTAGGAAGAAAAACTTACTTATAATTTACAAAACTGAACACCTATCTGAAAAATTATAATTTATGGTTTGCTTTAGGAAACGTTTTCTTCTCAGCTTTATCAAAATTGATAAACTAAAATTTTATTCCAAAAATTTAAATTGTTTTTTTTTTATTTCAGAATGACTTTATTCTATAAAAAAAAATTCTATTAGTTCCAATCATATTTTAACTTTAAGAGTACTGAAAAACTCCTATGATTTCATGGTCATCAAACTTGATAAGAATTAATACTTAAAATAATTTAGTTTCAATATCTGCTTATTTAAGAATAAATTTGCAGAAAAGATGAACGGAAGAAAAAATGCATTTAACCATAAGAAATGTTTCTGAAGGTGGGGAAAATTTTTCCCAAGACAGCAAAAACCTCACGTGGTAAATACCGTGCAAACCCTGTTTTAATCCCGCTCTGTAAGTAATCAGAGTTTGGGTTTTCAGTTTTTGTGTTCTTTCTCATTTAAATGTTAATTAACCAAAATATGCATAGTTTTTTTCTTCTCCATTTTGAAAGAATCCTTAGAATTAAAAGAATTTAGGTTTTTAATTTACTGCTTTTTCTTTCTCATTTAAATATTATGTAGATTAACCTTTCTAACAGATGAGAACTTTAAATAATGTCTTTCACATAATAAACTAAGCATTTCGCTTCCTTAATTGAATAGAAATGTAATCTTTATTTATAAAATGAGTCCATACTGCGTAGTAAATTGCCTTTATGAAACGAAAATCATTCAAATTAATAGTTTGAGATCTTTATACATCTTCATCCGGTTTTATGATTACATCTTACAGCGTCAATTCTAACGAAGAAGTCTGGATATTGTAGATCAAATGATATGAAAAAATAATAACTACATGCAGCGTGTGGAGAAAAAAAAATGCGCACTTGTCTTTTTGATAATGATGTACATAAGTAGAAGAAACTCTATTTTTCAAAAAGAGATATGAAATATTTTGACCAATTTCTTAAACAGCTTCTAATTGCAATCTAGTTTAAATAATGGTATTTATATTTCTAAGCTATTTAATACATTAAGAGAAAACCAAAAAGTAATTGGACAGAAATATAAAATATAAGAACTTTTTGAATTCTATAGGTCTTCAATATTAAACAAAAATAAGAATAATCTAATTTTAGAAATGCATGAAGAACTGTGGAAATATAATCAAATTTTATTAATTCCTCTAAATTAGCAAATTACATACTAAACATATACTCTGTTTTATTAATCGCATATTGGATTCTGAATGACTGACAGCATACCAATTTTTATTATCAAACGCTGTTAAGAATGAAGAAACTGAGTTTTAACTAATAAAATACATAAATTTTAAAATTTTGTTTAAAGCTAAAATAAATAATAGGAAAAAAAGGTAATTTTTTTTTTAAAAAATTAATATGAAAAACTTAATTTCTTTATACTAAATTTAGTTTGTTTAAATTTAAGATATTCTTATAATTTCCTATTTCTAAACAGTTATTTTGGTTATTTTTCTTCTTCTTTTATTTCATCCAGTTTTTTCTATTTTCTTCCAGTATTCTGAAGAAGAAAAAGGTTTCTTCCAAATGAATGCCAACCCTGCTTTATGGTGTATTTAAATTTAATTAAGTGCTGCCAGAAAATCTTTTTATCTACACTCAGTTGAAAGTTAAGAAAAAAACATTATCTCTATGAGGAGAGCCTGTTTGCATCTAAATGCAAGGCAAATAAATGTCAAGTTCCCAGCGCGAACGTATATCAGTATCGCCAACTCTTGAACCGACGTTGCTTTCGCTTTCTTATTTATAATAATAACATGAGTTATATACAAGAATAATCAATTAACAAGTAATAAAAATGATTTCGAAAAATCGTAACAAATATACGTTTTTCTGCTCGCTTTTAAAAAAACTGATGAAAGAATAATAAATATTACTTTCTGCAGACAAAACGTTTTATATATTTTCTCAAACTGTAAATATATTTTCTCAATCTAAAGTAAAAATTTTTTATATCTCGCATCCGATTTGTGAAGAGCATGTCAGCATAAGATGTGCCATTTTTGGTAATCGAATCAAATCCAATGATCCTGCTACGTCATAGGCTACGAAATTATAGCCTTTTTTTTCTTTTTTTAAATAATTCCGTGATATATATCGTAAAAGATAACTCGAAATAAATTTCCGCCTGTCGTGTTTAACTTTTAAGTCTTTCATATTGTTTTGAAAGCATATTTGTATAATTTGGTAACGAAATAAAAGAAAACTATGCAATAGCGGATAATTACCTAAATCCAATCCCACAATGATCTTTTCTTCACTTGCAACGGAGCAGATTATGTGTTGTTAAATATATTTCAAATTAATGGTATTTTAAAATGGATTTATTACTTTATTTTTTCCCCTTTCTTTTTTAAACATTAAACAGGGGCAATCTGTCATTTGACCCTAGAATTAATTTTGGAACAGGGAGGTTCAAATGGTCCCATTACCTGATTTCACCGCATAACGGCTGCATTGTTTCTGTTATCATTAATGCACCCATATTGGACAAGTAGTTGAAGTTCAAGTAGAATTTCTGGTAGTTTCCATTTTCTAAATTAAATGAAGATTAGGTTTAAGCGCAGTTCAATAACTTTACAATAACTTAACTCGTTACTTATTCCTCTTTGTTTATAAATATAAACTCGAAATTTCCTGTCAAATGTAACTTGATTATTAATATATTTTATTAATTGGGATTCTAAAGAGTAAATCCTATGAATATATCGATTTGCCTGATAGTAATAATCGCAAATTCGAATTATGGGGAATTTGATGGTTCATAATTTTATTAAAGCTGGTTTATCAACGAAACGTAAAGCTTCAATTTTTGATTCTGAGAATGACTATAATGAGACTTCTGATCCTGATTTATATGAGTCGAATTCAAAAGAATGTGTACAAAGGTAAGGTTCATTTGTAACAAAAGTTCGTCAACTTTCGAATTCTATCGGTAGAATAACTACGAGTGATTTGGAATAGTAAGCTGTCCACTGTTTCAAAGTATGATTCTACTTATATTTTCGGGCGTTTTTTTTCTTCATAATTTGATTCATTCTTAGTCTTTATTTTTTATTAAATTTTAATTAGTAATTTATCAGGTAAATTTCTAAGAACAAATCAAAGTTATAGGTAAATTTCTGTCAAAAATAAATAAAGGTAATTTTTTTTTAATTTTTGAAAGAAAAGTAACTCTGTAACGTTCTGCGACAATGTTGCCGTGTCGCTGCGATTCTGCCACAGGGTGTATGAAAAAAGAAACAAAAACATCATAACTTTTTTCTAAGTTCAATAAACAATCTACTTAATAGTGAAAAAAATAAAGAAACATTACACCAATGTGAAGGTAAACTTCTTTTTTTATTTGAATATTTTTGAACATCATCAGTGGATTGACCAATAAAACTATTTTATATTTGTTAATTTTTGTACGCTTCAAAAATTTATCTACGAAAGAGATATCTATAAACTTGCTATTTTTTGACAATCTGTTTACTGAAAAACCCAGACTAATAAAATTATGATTTTATTTATTCATTTTTTTTTCAAATTCTTTCAGATAAAACAATTAATAAATAAAAAATTTGATTGATAAAAATGCAGTTTATTATTTTCGTTTAGTAGGGTGACCTGGGGTAATTCCTGATCAAAAAATGCAAACATCTATTTTGGGAAAAAACTATTCAAGATAGAATTTTAATATTTACTGGAAGTTTGAGGCTATATGAGATGAGTCCTATGCCACCTTCTTTTGTTTGAAAATCTGATTTGAATTTAAAAGATTTTACATTTTTAGTGATCGGGAATTACCCCTGGTCTTGATAATTTCTGTGGTAATTCCTGATCACTTCTGGGGTAATTACTGATCACCAGTTTTTATTGTAAAGGGGCTGTTTAAAAATAATTATATAATGGTAATTAACAAGTAAGACATCAAGATCAAGCAAGTGAACCAAAAAGATATATTTAAGCAGCTAATAAAACGATTTATTTGAAAGCAAGAAAAAAGATTAGAACTTCAAATTTTACAAAAATCTTTGTATCGNTTTGCCACTTTGCTTGGCAAAAACCTGTTTTTGCCAGGACGGTTTTTACCGGTATTTACCATGGTTTTTTCCACCTGCGGCAAAATCTTGCCAACCCTGATAGATTATGATTTACTACTACTAAAGGTTTTGGTTTTTGGCAGTAATTGTCAAAACAAGAAGGAGATTTATTATTAGAATGACAGGGCTCGAAATTAACGGTGGTCCGTTGGTCCGTGACCACTAAAATCGGAGTCGGACCAGCATAAAATAATAAGCAGTGGTTCGCCGGACCACCATCCGCCGCAGCCGATCTCCGTTAAAAGAAAAAGAAGAAAAAAGCTGGCGTGCGAGATCTCGGTAAAAAAAAATTTTTAAAATTATAAATAAAGTTAGCGCGCGATCCTGAGGAAGGCGAAGTTAAATCTTGTTTCGCACATGCGTCACATGGAGAGTCGCTGAAGGAGAGAAATAGGGGAGGTAGCGGGGTGGGTTCATGACGTGCACCATCCGTCGTAGCCTAGGGTCAATTCGCAGCCGATCTCCGTAAAAAAAGGAAGCGAGCGCGCCTGAGGAAGGCAAAGTTACATCTTGTTTTGCGCATGCGTTACATCGGCTTATTAAAAAAAATAATAATTTTTACATTTTTTATACAAAATTAATATTAATCAAAAAAATGCGATTTAAATCAAACATTTATGATTTTTTTTTTTTTAAAAATTATTTTTTCAATCAAATATTTTAATTTTTTTTAATTTTATTTGCAGCTAATAGGAACGCGTAGACGGATCAGTAAAGTTTTGTGCGGACTAGTAAAATGTTTTAGTTACTGGTCCTATGGACCAGTAATTTTTTTAAAAAATTTCTACCCCTGAATGATTTAAGAACCTAATTGACTATCAATTTAACATGATTGATTACTTGTAATTTTACATCTATTTTTATTTTAAATAATTTTATTCATATTAGCTAATAATTATTGTTTACATCAAAATTTCGCATTTTAGATAATGGTCAAAAATTTTCAGTTTTAATACTTTCACTTTTAAAACTTTCATTTGTCAAAAACTTGCCAACCCTGGAGACTACCCACAATGTATTTTTAAAAAATTATTCCATGTTAAAAAACCTGCAGTTTCAGTTGGATTGGGAAATATTCTTATTGATATTGTAAAATATGCATTTAGATGTGTAATGATGAACTTAGCTACAGCAGAATAGTTTCTCTTTATAATGTTATTTCTAGGCGTATCTAGATCTTCAGGGACTTAGTTATTGGCAACACAACGCCCGAATACGCCATCTGGGGAGAAGACCAGTTCCATGCCTTGCCCCTTTTCCTTTCCTTAATATTTTTCGTATTTAATTGTTAAAAATATTTTTTAAAATTTCCATGACACTTTCTTTTAGAACTATGTTTAATGTAGTTTTTAGTTTCATGTAGTTTCCTAACTTAAAAGATTTTTATCTATCTGAAAATCAAGACGGAAACTAACATGCTTCCTTCTTCTATGAATCTACACATGCTAATTGTGAAAGCATGTGTAGTGTTGCCATAGGTAGAGAGCTCTGCTCTACGCCACTTGTAGCCCGTTTCGATCCCCAATATCTGATAAGGTATCTTTGGAGACTTGATACGTCGTGATTTGTAAACAGGCTATTTATAAGATATAGAAAATGCAAAAATAAATTGTAATTTAAGATTGGCTTTTATTAATAAAAATTGTTAAGTATATTACTTCAGTTGTTCCTAGTTACTTTTTATTTTATTTGAAAATTGTATTTTTGCTAGCTCAGAACTAGCATAAGTTGCAACATTCACATTGTCTTTTGTTTTCATATTATTCATCTTTGTATTTGTTTTGTAGGAAAAAGGAAGCCAAAACATCTAAGTATATTTACAAAACATTATTTGAAGAACAGCAGGGGAGTGATGTAACTATAACAGCATTTGGACGAACATGGAACTTACATAAATTATACATATCTCAGGTATAATATTATTTATGTCATTCAGGAGCTAAGATAAAGGGAAAGAGTGTAACAGAGGCCTGTGATTCCGGAAGGCATGGACATGATCTAAACAATTCTTCATTTTAAGAGAAAATTTTAACATTTTAAATTATTTAATACTGTAAAAATATTAATTTTATTGTTATATATTTCTTTGAACAAAAAATCTAATATGTTTTTACAAACTGTAGGAATCTAACCACAGTTGGCAAGGTTTAGTACAGAAAGGATTAATCCACAGTTTGAACCGCCCTGTTTAAAAACCACCCTGTTTGCTTTGTCTTAAACTGTCCAAAACCTTTTTATTCAAATTATGTCACAATTAAAAATAATAAAAAAATCAATTTTTGTGAAAAATAAAATGTTAATTTTTAAACAAGAAACAGACAAAAATTTATTATTAAAGAAGTTCATTATTATATTTAATGTTGCATTTATTTATCCTTAAGCAAAACATAATTTATCAATATTAAAAGCATACTTAAGGGATAAAGTATTCACCTTTGTTGTTCAATGAATTGTGGAGCTTCAAAAGTTATTAATCTTTTCTTATTATATTATATTATTTTCCTTTAAGTTAAAGCAAATTGTATAAAAAGTGTAAAATTTTTATTAATATATGTAATTATATGTACAATGGTTACACATATAGAATTTTTACCTTTTACCAATGTTCAAGATTTTGGACACTTAATGTCATTTTAGGACAGTTTTTGTCAGTTTAGGACCCACATGTCATGTCTAAAACCAGTTTAGAACACCCAAAACCCCAACCCTAATATAACTAATCTTTTTATTAGAATATGAACTTCTAATTTTTCATTGCTTACTTTTTTTGCAATTAGTCTTAATTTTTCTTTAATTATCAACTTTATTAAAAAAAAAAAAAAAAATACTGTTTGAATTGCTGTTGGTAGNAACCACTTTTTTTTTTTTATTCTTGAAAATGGTGAGTTACTTAAGCACCTAATTAAGTTTACAATTATTCGGCAAAAGCAATCTACTCTACTTATGTATCTAAATCAAAATAGTTGTTCAATATTAAATAAATAAATAAAGCTATTACATATTTTAGTCTTTTTATTGCTATGATAACATTAAATATAGATATTTGCTTATAACTACAAGCTGGCTGTAATAACAATTTTATCTGTTACTATGAATTTTCATTATAACATTTTTACTTTTAATGAGTTATGTAACCCATGAGGAAAGATGTTCGCAGAAAAAAAAATTAATAAGAAAGATATTATTGCAATTAAAATGGTTTAAAAAGTTCTCTGGGAATTACATAAAACTAAGCGATTGCAGAAGGAAAAGTTATAAAAGATGATTACTATACTCAAAGAGCTGAAGGTATGATGCAAGCGTTGAGAGAGGCGTTTCTTTCATTAATGTAATAATTAATCAATAATTGAAAAAAAGTTTGTGTTGAAGCAAGTTGACAAGCAAAATTGAAAAGAAGTTTTGGTTGAACTTGACTTTTGGTTTGGTCATTTTTGTTGCAATGTAGTTTTCTTTTTCCATAAAATTTCATTGATTTTATGTCAGCTTATATTGGCTAAATTTATTACCCTGTAGAGTTCTTTGCCCAAAATACTCATGTATTATAAAATTTTTTGCATAAATTTTCATAAGATGAAATGTGTATTTTTTCAATTTTCAGTCTCCGTATTTCTACACAATGTTTAACGGTGACTGGTTGGAGACGCAAAAGAAAGAAATTGAACTTATAATTGACGATGACAATGTTACTGCAGAAGGTGATTATTATTATTATTTGAAACTAATGCTAGATACATTTCACTAGAATTATTGAGTTATAGACATCATATCATATAGGCAGAGATGCCAACTTGCTCTGGACATGGGATAAATATTTTTGAGTGGTAATTTTTTAATGTATGATTCATGGTTTAAAAAAGTTTATTTATATGGTTTTCACTCACCACTTCTTCTAAATAATTAAAAGAAGTATGTAATTAACCCCTTTATTACAGTTGAATCATGTTAAACCCTTTAAAACGTTGGCAAATTAAACGAATAGCTGCAATTTTATGTTAGTAATTTACTGTTTTTTTAAAAATATTTTGTCATATCTATAGCAGTTTGCATCTCTGCAAAGGTATATCATCTAAAATTATTAAGTCCCGTAGTAGACTGATCGTAAAGACACTAATCCCAGTGGAAGACTGAAGTCAAACAGTCAGTACGGGTGGGGGACCACTTTGATCAGTCTACATAGGGACAGGGGTTCTCGGTATCGGTCCTCATTAAACTGTTCTGCCGTAAAGTGCACAGATCACTGGGCTACCAAAGCAGGGAAACCATCCGCTTTGCAGAGGATCAAAATTGCGATAGCATGTCCTTAGATCATCCTCAGGCATGTTTCCCAGCCCATTGTACAGCTCTAGTGCGACGTAAATACAGTACCTTCCTAAAATGTTCATTCATTAAATTCTTCAAATTTTGCTTTTATTTACTTATAAAGAGAAGTAAAATACTTTGAATGATATTGCATATATTTTTGTTTGTTCATTTTGTATTATTTGTCTTTATAGCTTTAAACAAAGTGTTCAGCTCTTTCTATCAAGATGAAATTGAAATAGATCCCATAGAATCAGTTTCCATAATAGGAGCTGCATCTCTTTTACAAATGGTATTAATAGAAATTTTTTTACTTAATTCGTAGTCACGTTAAATAAGTCAATTAAATTTTTGTTTAAATAAGAATCTATTTCTTACCTAAATTTTCATTAAGTTGTCCTAAACAATGCATTGTACACAAAAGGGAGAAAAAAATTTAACCCTATAAGGACACATATTATATATATGTAAATTGGTGCTCAGTGCATGAAAAAGAAAACAAATCACCCAGACTAACTTTTAATCTTATGATAGGAGTTTCACATACTAGAACTTAAATTTAAAGATTTAAAGGAGTTACTTCAACTATGCTAATTAATTTATGAGATAATGTTTTAAGATACGAAATAAGACACAAAAACATACTTTCTCTGTATAAACATACCTTTTTTCTGACAGCTTCCTTACCCTAAAAATATAGGAGGTAAGTAAAATCTATGAGATATTTACCCAATACTTTTGCCAAGAGAACCGTCCTAAGTTTGAACAAATTTTTTTTTTGTTGCTTATTTTACTATCTTCTCTTTATTCTTAATTTCGGCTTTTTTCAAAGGATTTTCGTTTGTTTTCTTGCATGAACAGAAAATTTTAAAAGTATACCTCAAACATTTGCACTGCAAAGTTTCTAATTTTTGTTTTTTTTTCCATGTTATATAAAATTACATTGTTTAAAATGATGTAAAAAATTACGTAACTTGCATTTAAAGAATTTTTTGCTTTTATTAAATATAATAAAAATAATAATAATTATTTTTTAGCTTGAAATTATTTTTAATAACCAAATTTAAGTATATGCGCAGTAACTTTTTGATTTACTTACAAAGTGTAATATCAAAATTTATCATTTGTCTGTTATTTGTGCTATATTATACATATTATGCATATATACACATATTTGGGATATTTGCATATTGAAAAAATAAAATTTTTCAGTTTTGGGATATTTGGGATATGTATAATATATATTATACATATTCCAAAGTCATGAGATGGCGCTGCCATCGCATGACTTTTGGGAGTTATCTCTTTCCCAAAGGGAGTTAGTCTTGTTTTGACTGGCATTGAGTAAGGTTGTCCAGTCTAAGATCGTTTGTATATATTCTGTTTTTCCTAATTTGTAATAACAGTTTTATTTTTGAGTTTCCTTAATAAGTTCATATCAATCAAATTAGTTTCCACAGGCTGGAATTTCCCTGTTCGGTAGGGCACTGGGTTCATGTCCAAGAGTTTGTGGGTTTGATCCCAGCCGACTGAAGACTCCCTGTGTAGTAAATGGTGACTGATGCACATTAAATCTGCCAAGTCGCGAAGTCATCCATGTTCCCATAACAAATCAATACCTCTGGGGGTACTGATCCAGGAGTTTCCTTGTCTTCTGGATTGGTTCAAAATTACAAGGCTATGAAGTTGAACATTAGTAGTCGTAAATCCAAAATTGGCAGATCCGAACTTTCGACCTCTGTTCTGACTAAAGTATTAGGTCCATGTTTCCCAGTTTGTGGTTACCCCCTATTTTTTAGAGGGCCTGGAATCGTAATCTGTTGCGGGGGGGGGGAGGTATGTTTAATCAGAGAAAGTATGGTTTTGTGCCTGATTTTGTAACTTGAAATATTTTGTGCATTTCCTCTAACTCTTAAGTTTGAATCCTTGTACATGAAAATCCAATTATTTGATCAAAAATTGTTTAAGTTGATTTGTTCAATTTTTACACACTTAACATATTTATACAAAGAATCTCATCTATGTTAATCTCATCTATGAGTTTTTCATGTACACATATCATCACTCACAGCACTGATTGGAAATCATCAAATCTATTAAATTGCTCGTAGCTCTTGAAAGTTTTATTGAATACTTTTGTTTACTATTCATAAAAAAATTAGAATAATCAGTTTTATACCAGTATGTACTGACCTCATGTATGTATCTTAATTAGGTTAATTTCTTGTTTTAGGACCACCTTTGTCAGCAGTGTGTTCAGGTTATGAAGCGCAATGTAAAGTAAGATTATGACTTTACTTATTTTTATATTTTATTAATTTTTTTAAAGTCTATGTTAACTACCATATATTTCCTATTGTAAGCTTAATTTTATATTTTTTAAAATAATGCTTAAAAAAAAGTTTGTATTGATTAAGCATTGTTTTTTTATGGTAAAAAATACTGTTGAAGCAAAGCAATGGTTTCAAGCACCAGGGAAATCAATTGTAATTGACTGGTATGCTGAATTTAAATGCAGTTGTAAAGACACTGATGATGCTGAGTGCTCTGGTTGTTTGAAATCAGTAGTGTTTCCAGAAGACATGAAAATAGTTTTGAAAGATTGTAAAGGCCAAAAAGAACAACGTGTCGAGCACTCAAAGTACTGTTTGGAACTGTTGCAGCAAGATGAAGAAAATTGCGACAACGGAGGAAACATGGATCCTACTACAGTCCTTTATCATCAGCTGAGTGGACAATAGCTGGTGAAAGCTAAAAAAGTAATCAAAAAATCAAATGTCAGCTGAGTGGACAGTAGCTGTTAAAAGTAAAAAAAATGTGACCAAAAAGTCGAAAGTCAGCTTGCCTCTGTGTTTTGGGATGCACATTGTATTTTTTTTAATTGACTATCTTAAAAAAGATAAAAATATCAATTGGGAATATTGGATTGATTAAGTAAAGAAATCTAGAAAAAAAGATAGATTTATTTGCGAATAAAAAAAAGTTCAGTTTCACCAGGGCAATGCCCTTTGTCGAAAGCCAACGAAAAAAATGATTAAATTGAATGAATTACAGCTTGAAATTACTTCTCCACCCACCATACTACCCAGATCTGGCACCTAACGACTACTGGCTCTTAGCAGACCTCTAGAAGATGCTCCAGTGATATAACTTTGGCTCAAGTGAAGAAGTCATTGTTAAAACTGACGCCCGTTTTGTGAGAAAAGATAAATCATTTCACAAAAAGTTAGAGGAATTTTGGAATGAATGTATCACTCTTGAGGGGGAGTATGTTGATAAATAAAGTCGAATTCATGCCTGCGAAGTCTCCTGTTTTTTAACGAAGACTCCTGTATTTTGCGTCTATCTCCTGTTTACCTGTATATTCTCAAATTTCTCCGTATTTGTTGAAGAAATTTAAGAAACAAATTTGTCAATAAACCATCCGCAAATGGAAAAAATACTTCTCTTTTTCCTCAACAGATGGTACTATTGCCAATACAGCAGTATGTTGAGTATTATAATTTAAGTAATTATAAATAATGGTTTTAAAAAAATTTTTCTTTACATTAAGATTTATAAACATATTTTTTACTTTGCTAAATGCAATTGCTTATATTATTTCCAATTGTTTATATTATTTATTTTTTAATTTCTCTTTTTGACTTACATGATAATGCATGATGTATCAAAACTTTACTCGAAGCCTGAAAAATGTTGCTAGTAAAATCTCCGTTATTTTATTTCTCCAATGTTGGCATGTATGCAAATTTCTAAAAAAAAAAAAAAATAACAATAATAAATAAAATAATTTAACTGCACCAGAGTCTTAGTGATGTATTAATACCAGGATTGGATATAAATTTACCAAGCAAAGTTCTGATAAAATGTATTTTTAATGCTTAATATTATCTGAAAAAATGTTGTACTTAAATACTTAAGTATTTTAGTATTTCTAGATAAATTGATTAATTCAGGGCTTTATTTTATTAATATATTAATTTAGGGATTATATTTTTAGATAAAACTTTCAATATCAATGAAATCAAACTTTAAAAAAAATATTTTGGACTTAAATTAATGTTTTTTTTTAATCAGCTGATTTAAATCAATGATACTTTTTTTTTAAAGTATCAAGTTGCACAAATTTAAACTATGTCATCCAATACTTATTTTAAATTTATTTCACCAAATTGTTTAAACAGGATGTATTGTTATTTCAGCATTAATTCTGTCATATCATACTTTGAGAATGCTGAGTTTTATTCTCTGAAGACATTAAAAGAGCTCTCATTTGATTGGTTGCTGCAAAACTTATTATATAAAGTTCATCAATCCCCTTCTCATTTACGTCAAATAAGGTAAATTCACACGTTTTGATATACTTAATTCTAATCTCTGTTTTATTTTGTATTATTATTCGTAATTTATTTTATTCATTAAAGAAAATTACAAATAAAATGTTAGAATTGAAATTCTATCTTTTTAGTCTGCAAGAGGACACTTTATTTTCAGAAAAACACATCTGATTTTATTTCAATTTGCAAATGTAACGTTGTAAATTAATTTTTTAAATTACAGCCTTTGACTGAACTTCAATATGTATTCTGGCTTTAAATTGAGGTTCGTACAGTTTAGTTTGAAAGCTCTCTTCAAGTGAGCTATGAGGATTAAAATAAAATTCAGCAATCTAATCTAAATTCTAAGTTCGTAATTCTGTTCATAATTAGCAAGAAGTTGTAAAATATATAACTAATTTTGGGGGAAAACGGCGCACCCTCAAAGAATTGGCACGCTGATAAGTTAAATAATATGCTGCACCGAATGTTACTATACTAACGCAGGTATTGATGACAGACTTAACACATGCTTTAAATATGCATACATATAACTTAAATAGTTAATAGTATAATTCAATATATAATTTAAATAGTTAAATAAAAACCAATAAAAGGACATTGAATATATAAAAAAATAGAAACAATCCTAGCATTTAAAATAGATTTCATTAATTTTCTAAGTAAAATTAAGCCTTCCTACGAAATTTTCAAGTTTTAAATTAATAACACTGCGGCATATCTCCCTGAAATTATGGTACTTCATTATGCATTGTGTATTTTTCTCAGAAAAAAAATCTATAAATCAGAAACTCTTGTTTTTTTCTTCTTTAAAAGGGCTTTTAAATGTGTATCAGCATTAACTCTGAATTTTTGTTATTCCAGCTGTGATTTGATGACTAGCCTTATTAAATCGCCTGATCTCATTGTGATACAAACAGAATTTTCCATATACCTTTTACTCAAGCAGGTAATTGTTTTTTAAATGATTGTTATATTATCCTAAGATGAGAAATTTATTTGTTTTGTTTAAGCTCTAAATTACTTTTATATATCATTTATTTTTTCTCAATTCTATGCTTAACTTCTGTTTTAAATCGGTGTTAATGCTGTCGATTTTAAGAAAATTTTTTGTATGATTAATCATGTATCTTAACATCGTTTATTTTGTTTTTATAAATTTAGTACATAATTTTATACTAAACATAAAACAAAGTTGTGAACATCAATTTGTTAACTGTAAAACGAGTAATCTATGCACTTTTGTGCAAAAGATACTTGATGATTGTTTTCTTTCTCTTGCCAATGCTAACGGTTTTAAAATAGAATTGCATAAAACTGATTTTAAAAAAATTTATTTTTGAATATTTTCCAATCAAACTTTTGAAACTTATTTAAGGAATTTTTTTTTAAAATTTTTCTTTCCCCACATTTGAAGTTTTTCCAAGTGTAATTTTTTTTAGTTTTAAAAAAGGTTAAATATAAGAATATTTTAATGTCTTATTTAAGCATTGCTTGTACCCTTCCTCTTCACTTGTTCGCAAAAGTAAGCAAATGTAAGCCCCCACTGCTAAATGCTAACATAATATTTGAATGGCCCTTCCTTGTACTTAATAATAAGAAAACTATCATTTTTTATTAATTTGCAATTATCCCTTTTTAAAAGTAGTCAGGTATATGTTTACTGTTTTAAAAATATTCGGATTTTCCTTTAAAAAAAAAGATGTCCACTACATGGCTTGTTTAGATAGTTGTTGTTTCTATTAGTACTAATGCTACTAATCTTTTTATAGTGGATCTTTCTAAAGGAAAGTGATAGTGTGCTAACTGAAGGGATAGAAATTGATAAACTCGCTGATGACTATTTTAAAAACTCCCGTAAGTTACATTTTTGCTCTTGCTTTTAAAGTTTGTTTAAATTATTATATCATATTATATCAATAATTTATATCATTATATTTTGCTCTTAGTGCTTTTAAAGATGATAAAATATTCTCATTTTAAGTTGTATTCTTGGGGAGTGTTTACTCTTTTAACATTTTTGTCATATCTTGAGTTCTAATTGTTTTTTTTTAATAAAATTCGTGGGATTCTTTTATTTTGTAAATTTATAATTTTACTGTTGAATCATATGTGTATGAATACCATGATCTATGCCTCAGCTCGGTTTGAACTCTATTTTATGACAGGTCTTAAAATTTATAGGATATATGAACTATACTTATTCATCATTGTTGTAATTTTATTGTAAAACTTCTTGTTTTGATGATTCGGCAAAATAATAACGTTCCAAAAAGAAGCTACCTAATCACTTTACATATTTTTCTTTCTGTAAGTTACAACAAAAAATAGTTTTACATCTACCAGTAGGACCATGATGAGTTGAAATTTAAAAATACCAAATGCAAAATGCAATTTAAAAAAATTTATTTAAACATTTTGTCTAATTTTCAGTGGTACATTTTAATCTTATAACGTTCTAAAGTGATAAAATTCTCTAATTGAATTTAGTTATGCATATGTAGAATATACGATAGGTGAGGTAGATAACACTTTTTTACTCATTAATTTCTTAACATATGTACTTGAAACATCACAGTTAGGTGGATGAACCAACAGCAACCATTTTTTTTGTTCACAAATAGTTTATGTGAAAAATATTAAAATGTAAAGTACAAATAGTACATACATATACCCATGTGCGATTACATATTATTTAAGCAAGGAAAAAACAAAATCTGAATGTTCATTTATGGGCAAGGGTAAGGCGAACATCAAAACCAGTGTCAGTGTTCGGGAAACGGAGGAGTTGTTAGAATATTGTTCTAAACATCTTCGCGTTCCATCCAGCAGTCAAACTGGTTTTGATGTTTTTAACGCCCACTTGCTCAATAGTGGTTTGTCATATTTTGATTGTGTTTTTCTTTTCTTCTCATTTTCATATTAACTTATCATAAGTTAGTACCTATAATATAGGTGTTTTAATAAATTACCTTTAACTTTTGAATCAATTTTTCTGATATTCAAACAGGTTTTGATATTTTTAATTCTGCTTTCCCCTATTAATGACTGATAAAGATTTGATAGTATTCTTTTCCTTGCTTAAACATTAATTTGCTATGACCCCAATGTGTATATTTCATTTTTGACATGGGCAACAAAAAAATACAAAGGATTGATTGTATAGAACACTTCATATATGACTCAATAATTGCACATATAGTAAGCTTATGTTTACATCACATAAGTTTAATGATATATTTTGCTTATTTTCTTACTACTACTTATTTTCTTACTTGATTACTTTCTTGACCTGGCACAAAAAGCTTTGGATATATTTTGCTTATTTTCTTCCCGTGAGTTCTGTCCTGACACAAAATTACATAAGTTCGAAATAAATTTTGCTGCTGTTTGTTTTATGAAATGAAACTAGCTTATATCTTATGATATTTTTAATATGATATTTTATATGTGTTTTAAATTGCCAGTTAATAACAATTTTCAATTTTGTCTATACAATATAGTTATCGTAACTGTGTTATGTGTAGTTGTATGTATTAGAATTTTGCAGCATCTTTAGATTGTTTTTTTAAATTTAAAATTTTTTTTAACTATCTTTTTTGCTTAAAATCTTTTAAATCTTTTTTGTAGATACAATGCCATTTCTTATGACTGAAAAGGGAGAAAAATATAAAGAGGCCTTCTTTGCTCTGAGGTTGAGAAATTTAATCAGTCACTCACTGGATTTGACTATAATTGAGCGTGACAATATAATACCTGGTGGTAAGTAAATAGTGTGAAATAAATTAGTTTGTTCAATTCCATTTCTCAAAAATTGTTTAATTCTTACTATTAGTTCACACTCTTCTTACATCTTGTTCAAATTTTCAATCGTTAATAAAATACTTTTTATTCATCCACTCAAGTTCAAATAAAAATTTTTAAAATTTGTAGTGGATGACACTTGATGTTAATACAGTTTTTCAAACATTAATTCTTTAATTAAATTTAATTAATTAATTTTAGTTTATATGGGAGAAAAGTTTTTAATTATTTAATAAAAAGTAATTAAAATAGAATTTTTCTTTGTGGACCTAAATGGGAATTGACTTTAAATTTTTTTTTAATATTAATTGTTTTACAGACTAGTGACAGTTCCAAGCTTTAAAATAATTTTATCTTCTATTCTAATACATCATGTGGAATGTTGTAATCACCTTCCAAAGTAAATAATTATTAGCTTATTATTAAAAGAGATATAATAAAAATCTATAATGTATCACAAGTTATGTAGATTTGTTCCTCTTTATATTATGCATGTAAATTTCTTTTTTTTAAATCGCTTAAGGGCTATTCTCAGATAATACATATTAATTTTAATGTAAAAATTTTTCCTTTTAATTCCTGACTACTAATATTGTTTTCCTTTATAATTTCCATTATAATCTTCTTTGCTTGTTGAATGTAATTGAATATATTTGGCACTATATGATATCTTTGCTACATTTTGACTTTTGGCATTGGTTTTTTTCATACCCTAAATAAAAAATTTTGCTAAAATATTACTTGCCAAAAATTTTCTTATTTTTAATTTTAATTTTTAAAAGCCCTTAAAGGTGCTTTTTCCGTTGGATCTTTTAGAAAGTGCTTAATTTTATGTTTTAATTTTATCTTATTTTTTTTTGTTTCTTAACTATAACAATTTTTGACACGGATCATGCAAAAGCATGGTTATGTTCTATTCAACGTTTTCACAATTCATTCAAACACAATCCATTTCGGTGTACCATTGATTTGTAGTGTATAAAAACGCCAATCATTTTACCTGTTTGATGAAATACTTGTGGGTTTGCGTGTGCATATTCTGAACTGAGTTCAGTGAGACTCTTGCACTTTCATTTGCAACTCTGTTGCATTTTGCTAGATATTTTCAATTTCAGGCTTCATTTCCGCTCTCTAAAATCGAACCAAAAAATCTCTCGATCTTTTTATGGTGGCTAATATAATCAAGAAAAGAGTTCTTTGTCAGAAACTAGTTATTTATCATGATCATGTAAATTCTTTCAAAATTATTTTGCATTTTGTTAATGTACATAGTGCTTAAAAAGTACTTAAAAGGTGCTTATTTTTTGTTGAAAGATTTAGCTATGCACCCTGATATTAGGAAACGTTTTTTATCTTTTACAGATTGGCTTGCCCCAATTTTCAGGCAGCAGTGGCAGCATATGTTGAAGATTGAGGAAGGGAGTGACATAGGGTGTGTATACTATATATTGTTTATCGACCACCACTTAATATTTGTATTAGAATTATATTTAAGTAGGTTTAGGCTCAAAATATTTTTAATTCTATGTAGATGATCAGAAAAAAACTAGTCAAAATTTTATATATGTATACAAATTATGCTAATACATTACTAACCTTGTCAGTTCGTGATAAAACACTGAAATATATTACCGGTCTTTAAAGAAAAAGGGTTGAAAGACACTGATCTAGTTAATCTGCAAATTAACTAGGGTGATCTGTGTTGAAGATCCAGAATTTTCCTAATTTAACTAGGTAATGTGAGTAAAATTTTTTTTATTTTTAAAGATCAACAGTTTTTTTTCCTTATACAATCAACTAATCTGTTGATTTGTTTGTTGATGCTACAGATGACAGAAAGGCTCCTGTGTGTTAGTAGGCAGTCTGTCCCTTGATGAAGTGCTGTCTTACTAACACACATGTCTTAAAATATTCTTCGTGTTTTGCTAGAATTGTATTTCTGACTTTCTAAATTAAAATAAGACAAATTTCGTTTTAGCTGCTTTTAACGTTTTTCCATTTTGATTTATTATTTTAAATATTATTGACTTATTTTATCTTTTCCTAAATTTATGTAAATCAGTTTCATTCTTTGATTAGATTTCCTTAAATGTAATAACATTTTAAAACATTTATAGCACAAAAACGGAACTTCTTTATTTTCCACTTTTTCTCAGAACAAATTATTGCTGAATCAACATTGTAAGAAAATTTTCTTATTTAACCTCATCCTTTTTTCAAAATTGTTTAAAATGTTTGTCATTTTACACTTCTTTTCATTATAAATCAGAAGCAAGTGCTTGACCTAAAGGTAAAACAAATGAAAAATAGTCTAGTATGTGTTTTACCAAAAAGCTGTCCTGATTTTTCTCCTGATTATTTTATAAAATTTTGTCCTAATTTTTATTTTAAATCACTACAAAGCCCACTTTTAATTCTTTGTATTATAATTTTTAACATGATTTAATGATTTATTTTATCAACTAATGCATAGATTGTTTGATTGTACTCGCTTGATTTTTAGATAGCAAAAAATAAATAAAAAAAGCATAATTTTAAGTGTTTCTATTGTTTCAGCGAAGGTCATGTTTTCACTTTAATAAGTGCACAATGTAGATAATGTGCTGATTAGTTAGGTCATATATCAAAATTTTCAAGTATATCAAACTTTTTTTGAATGGTGCTCCTTACACTATTGTATTGATATATTTTGCTTTGGCTTATATTGATACAATGTTAGGAAGCACAACTTTTTGTGGATATAATCGTGTGAGCTGATGAAGAGATTAAATCTTTTCATTATTGTATTTCCTAGCTTTTTAATGTATACATATATGTTTTAAACTATTTTATTTTTTAAAAAGTATTTTATTTCAATAATTTTTCTTCTTATCTTTTCATTAATCTTTATTATTTTTTATGTTTTCTCTTATATATATATGTATATAATACTTTTTAATGCAGCTAATCATTATCCTTTCTATACAATTCTTTTTAAGCATGGATTATCATATTTTATTTGTTTAATATTGTTTTTTTTTATTGTTTTACTAATATTAATACTAATTGTGAATTTGTTTCCCTAGCCCAATTGGAATTAATGAAGAAATTTTCAATCAGTATTGTTCCAGAATGGGAAGAGTTATTAAGCATGATAGAGAGGTATTATATTTCATATTTTGATAACGAATAATAATTTATTAATTATTTTATGCTTTGAGCTTGATAATTTATTATTATTGAACTTTTTGTTATTGTGGGAAGATAGGTACTTTTATAACTTCTTAAAGGGATCACTAATCTAAGTAATTTTTTTTTATTTATTACATTAACTATAATATTAATTATCATCTGTCTTATTATTGTAATTTTAAGACATATAAAAAATTTGTAGGTTAGTTCATAACTTCTTAAAGGCATCGCTGATCAAATTATTTTTTTCTTATTTATTTAACTATAATATTTTCACTATTCTGTATTATATGACTTACTATTGGGCTTTTTAGATTTATCAGAATTTAGCTATTTTAGCTAGATTTAGCTATTTAAAAATTTTTTTCTTTATTAACAATGTCATAATATTATAAATCATCTTTATTATCATGTGACCTTTTATTTTACTTTTTATTGTCATAAATAATTGTAGGTGAGATAGATATATTTATTACTTAAGGTGATCAGTAGCCAAATTAACTATTGTTTTCTTTATTAGCTAAGCAATATTATTGTATGGCTTATTGCAATTTTTTATAATCATAATTATTAGTAGGTTTGATAGTTATTTTCATAACTTCTTAAGTGATCAGTAACAGAGTTAACTATTTTTTTATTCATTAACTAAATCATATATTATCATTATGCTTTTTAGAATTAAAAGACTTTTGGCTTGTTCATTACCTCATACAGGGTCCACTTGCTTAAACAATTGTAATTTTATTTAATAATTATTCTAGTAAAAATCATATTAAATAATAGGATCAAATATTATCAATTATTCATATTGTTAAAATTAGCTTGATTTATTTAAAATGATTTTAAGCATTCCAGTATTATATTCATATAAATATTCGGGTAGAAATAAATATCTGGCTTTGTTTGTGCATCATGAATCCAAGTTATTTTCCAGCTATTTTTTTTGTGGCAATTATTGCTATGCATTAAAATTATGATTTAAAAATTTTGATTTTTATTACAACATGCAAATTTTTTTTATTCGGGTTATTATATTTTCGGGTAATTTATTATATTCGGGTAGAAATAAATATCTGGCTTTGTTTGTGCATCATAAATCCAAGTTATTTTTCAGCTATTTTTTTTGTGGCAATTATTGCTATGCGTCATAATTTAAAAAATTTCGATTTTTATTACAACATGCAAATTTTTTTAAGTAATTACATTCAAAATGACTTAATTTGAGTTCAATGCTGGAGCGATTGATGCCATACATTTTAGTATTGTACAAATCCATCAATTAAAATTTTTTATAAGTTTTTATTATTTATTTATATTTTTTAAAAGATATATTTTTTCTCCTATTATTCTATGGGTAAGAAATTGAGAAACATAAACAAATTTACTAGAAAGGTCAAAGCACATCAGAAGACATGTTGTCACATTTTTGATGCTCTGCAGAGTTGATGGTTCTGCTTTTTTTTTGGTAGCCCTACTTTAGAACACTTTATGGGAGAAGAGTTTAAAGAGGACCAATATCGCACACCCTCCTTCCATTTGCTGGATGATCTATGTGGTTGCCCACCCACTTACTGACTATAGCCAGTAATGCTTCTGGGTTGCCACTCCACAGGGAGAACATGGAAAACCTGTAAAATATAGGGAATTTAAAAATCAACTGAAATAACAGGAAGAGAAATTTTTATTTTTTCTTTACAAACTGGGAAAATACAGGGACAAAATGGTAATTTTGTTTCTTATTTCCGTCTTTTGAAAAATGGTGACCTCTCAAAGCATGGGGGTGTTTTAGTTATACTAAACTATTTCATTTACTAATGCATTATTTAAGTATGTCCAGCTGTTCCTTTTTTCTACTTAGTTTTTCCCTCAATTAAAATTAGTATAGTTAGCCCAATAATAGCTGGCACAAGAGCACAGTAATTATGTTTCCTTTTAATATATTGTGTATAATATGTTCAGGGAAAACACAGCGAATTTGTTTTTTACAGATATCAGTAGCACCCAACGCTTGACTTTGGTTATTTACTTGGAATCGTTTCTTTAGACTAGTCTACTGTGAGACCAGTCTTTATAAATTAAACATATCATTCAAATTTTAAAAATAAATGTGTTTTTTTTAAATCATTATTTATTTTTATTCAATTTTTAATAATAAAACCTTAACTATTTTTTGCTTGTAATTTTTTTCATTTAACGCATACTTTTTCCTTTTATCTTTAAAAATTTCTTTATTCATGGGAATGTTTTCCTTTTTTAGACGAATTGGAGGTGGACTGGATTTAATTATGGATTGGATCTTGTTGTAAACTATAGTAGAGGGTAATATTACATGTGCATTTTTTCTCTATTTTTTGCCAGCCAGATGGTCGAGCAGTTAGCGTGCCTGATTGCAAAGCTAATGGCTGCAGGTTTGAATCCTGCTCAGGGCACGGATGTTTCTCTCTGTGTGATGTGTGAATGTGGCCTACACTATGAACGTGTGTCAAGGGTAACATTGCTCGCCTCCGTGAATTTGCTTCACAGGTGACCACCGGGTCACGATAAATGAGCTACACTTCCGGTAACTTAAATGACAAAGAATGATAAGTTCAGTGCCTGACGCTAAACAAAAATTATTTATGATACTTTTTTAAAATTTATAATATTTTAAAAATATTTGTAATAAATATATGTCTTCCATAACTTTATGATACACAATGCAGTCTTATCCAAAATTTTACCCTGGTTTGTACATTAAAGTTACGCATTCTATGAGAATACTCTTTTAATATTCAGAGAAAAGTGAATATTAAAATAGTGTAAATAGTTTTAGTTCATATTTTCCTTTATTTTTTCTGAATTAAGAAAACAAAATTTTTATCCACTCTAATATTCAATACCCTAAAATTATGCTGCATTGTTTTTTTTTCTTCTCGGTAACGGCATTTTCTGAACTTTCGTTCTTCACCTTGGAAGATGCCGGAAGCGTTGCTAATTTAACGTTACCCAGTGGGCACCCGTGAACCTAAGTCACGGAGGCGAGCAACATTATTCACGCCGCATTGCCACAAATACTCTTTCATAGGGTGGGCCACATTCACACATCACACACAACAGATGACTGCACAAGGAGAGAAACATCCATGCCCAAAGCAGGATTCGAAACATCAGCCATTGGCTTCGCAGTCAGGCACGCTAACTGCTCGGCCACCTGGCCGGCTATGATGCATTGTAGGGCATTATATGTTTAATATGATGATGATTTTTGACTAAATGGTATTTTAAACCTCTCACTGAAAGTTTTTGATCTTTGTATGACCTAAAAAGAAATGAAGTGAAATTTTTAGAAGCCACTTTTATTAGTATAAGTAAGAAAGCATATTAATTTTTACTACTAATTATAGTTTGTGTATCTAGATTATTATTCCTTACTTAAGTAGACATGTCAGAAATATTTCTGTATCAATTTAAAAAATTATATATATAAAGGAATTAGAAAGAGAAAAAACTTTTGATCTTAAGTCTTTAGCCTACAAAAATGCAATCTTGATAGTTTCGGGAATTGACCTGAATCAATCGACAGTATTTGAAGTTATGAAATCCAACGATAAATTTTTTTTTGAGTAAAATTCCTTTTCTTATGAATTTTTGTGAATTCTGTAAATATAGTTAAGATATGAAGAAAGTTTTTTGTATTTTGTGAAAGTTTGAAGAGCAAAATATTATGATATAATATGATATAATAATTTAAACTAACTTTAAAAGCAAGAGCAAAAATGTAACTTACAGGAGTTTTTAAAATAGTCATCAGCAAGTTTATCAATTTCCATCCCTTCAGTTAGCACACAATCACTTTCCTTTTGAAAAACCCACTATAAAAAGATTTGTAACATTAGTAAAATAAAAACAACAACCACTATCTAACAAGGCCTTGTAGTGGGACATCTTTTTTTTTTTTCTTTAAGGAAAATTCGAATATTTTTAAATTAGTAAACATATATTTGATTACAAAATGGGAAAATTACAAGTAAAAAATGATAGTTTTCTCATTATTAAGTACAATTAATGCTCATTCAAGTATTATGCTAGCACTTAGCAGTGGGGGTTTACATTTGCTTATTTTTGCGGACAAGTGAAGAGGAGGAGTATGAGCAATGAGACATTAAAATCTTCTTATTTTCAACTTCTTTTAAAAAAATAATAAACTGAAAAAATTTACACTTGGAAAAATTCAAATGTGGGGAAAGAAAAATTGAAAAAAAAAAATTCCTTAAATAAATCTCAAAAAATTTGATTGGAAAATATTCAAAAATCAAATATTTTTTAATCAGTTTTATGCAATTCTATTTTAAAATCGTTAGCATTGACAAGAGAAAGAAAACAATCATCAAGTATCTTTTCTCAAAATCTATTACAAAATATGTTGTTTTTTCAATTGCACAAAAGTGTATTGATTACTCGTTTCACAGTAAACAAATTGATGTTTACAACTTTTTTTTACGTTTAGTATAAAATTATGTACTAAATTTATAAAAACGAGATAAACAATGTTAAAGTACATGATTAATCATACAAAACAATTTCTAAAAATTAACAGCATTAACACCGATTTAAAACAGAAATTAAGCATAGTATTGAGAAAAAAATAAATGATATATAAAAGGAATTTATAACTTGAACAAAACAAATAAATTTCTCATCTTAGGATAATATAACAATTTAAAAAGCAATTACCTGTTTGAGTAGAAGGTATATGGAAAATTCCGTTTGTATCACAATGAGATCAGCGATTTAATAAGGCTAGTCATCAAATCACAAATAGAATAACAAAAATTCAGAGTTAATGCTGAAACACATTTAAAAGCCCTTTTAAAGAAGAAGAAAAAAACAAGAGTTTCTGATTTATAGATTTTATTTTCTGATAAAAATACACAATGCATTGGAGTACTGTAATTTCACGGAGATACTCCTCAGCGGTATTGATTTAAAACTTGAAAATTTAGTAAGAAGGCGTATCTAACCTATGGGTATGACTTTTCTTTTCTTCTTTAGAAAATTTTGCTTTTTAGAAGCCCCACTGAAAATTTCATCATAATTTTTTTCAATAAACCTATTTTGCTCTGATTCAGGGAGTTCTGATTTTAAAAGATTTTAAGTGAAATGATATGTAAATATAGAGATATGTGATATCTAAATAAATTATTCTTTAATTTTCCTTTTGAACAAAAATTGTTTAGCTTTATCGTTTATTTCTAAAGCAATATTCTGGATTGCTGATTTAAAAGTAAAATCGTTTCATTTTTATTTTTAACAATTTTAATGGTTTTTGATATATTAATTATTTTATTAATATTTTAATGGTAACTACAAATTAAAATTAGCAAAACTTAGTTTTACTTGGAAAGTTAATGAAATCTATTTTGTATACCAGGATTGTTTCTATTTTTTTGTATATTCAATATCCTTTTATTCGTTTTTATTTAACTATTTAAATTATTGCATTGTTAGAACATGTGTTAAGAATTAGTAGTCAGGAGTTAAAAGGAAAAATTTTTACATTAAAATTAATATGTATTATCTGAGAATAGCCCTTAAGCGATTAAAAGAAAAAAAAATTGCGTGCATAATGTAAAGAGGAACAAATCTGCGTAACTTGTGATACATTATAGATTTTTATTATATCTCTTTTGATAATGAGCTAATAATTATTTATTTTGGAAGGTGATTAGATTAAATTATTTTAGATTAAATTATTTTAGAAGATTAAATTATTTTAAAGCTTGGTACTGTCACTAGTCTGTAAAACAATTAATATAAAAAAAAAATTTAAGTCAATTCCTACTTAGGTCCACAAAGAAAAACTGTATTTTAATTACTTTTTATTAAATAATTACAATTTTTTCTCTCATATAAACTAAAATTAATTAATTAAATTTAATGAATGAATTAATGTTTGAAAAAACTGTATTAACATTAAGTGTCATCCACTACAAATTTTAAAAATTTTTATTTGAACTTGAGTGGATGAATAAAAAGTATTTTATTAACGATTGAAAATTTGAACAAGATGAAGAGTGTGAACTAATAGTAAGAATTAAACAATTTTTGAGCAATGGAATTGAACAAACTGATTTATTACACACTATTTACTTACCACCAGGTATTATATTGTCACGCTCAATTATAGTCAAATCCAGTGAGTGACTGATTAAATTTCTCAATCTTAGAGCAAAGAAGGACTCTTTATATTTTTCTCCCTCTTCAGTCATAAGAAATGGCATTGTATCTACAAAAAAATAGAAGAGTAAAAAGATTACAAGCAAAAAAGATTGTTAAAAAAAATTTGAAATTTAAAAAAACAATCTAAAGATGCTGCAAAATTATAATACATACAACTATACATTTATGGTAACTATTATGATAAGTTATGATAACTCACAGTTATGATAACTATATTGTATAGACAAAATTGAAAATTGTTTTTGGTAGAGTGAAATAAAGATAATCATAATAATTAAATAAATAATCCCAAAAAACTGAAGTGGTAAGATATTACCTGATTAAAAAGCTTTATTTGCTTCGAAAATGTATTAAAAGTAAATAATAGTACATTTTCAAGCGATTCGAAAATAAAAGCAATTCGAAAATGTAAGCAATTCGAAAATAAAAGCTCATTTTCAAGACTCGCCAGATGTGAATCAGAAGAAACTAAAAGTGATTTGAAAAATTAAAACGTAAAGTTTGCCAATGGAAAAATAAAGATGAGAAAGAAAACTAGAAAAACCTCGATAACCGAGAAAAAAAGCACAGTGGGCGAGTGTTGCAAATTAAGGTAAAGTGCATTTTCATGCTCTATGAAGAGGTGGTGTTGAGGAACTAATGTCGAATCAACATTCATATCAATAATGAATAATATTATTTTAATAACTTTTATTTCTTATCATTCACATTTGGCAAGTCTTGAAAATGAGTGCCTATTTTTAAAGCACTCAAAACCTGTTGACTGTTATTCACTTTTTTTGATATTTTTGAAGTGTTTAATTGGATAAAATAATAATAATTATCCATGTTGAACATTTTTCTTATTGTAACCTTTTAACTTATTGTAAAATAAGAATTGTTTAACTGAAGCATCATCATCATTGAATGTGCCTTTTTTTCACATTTAGAACCGTTTCATTATCCAGAGTGCAGGAGGCTTCAAACTTAAGGCACAATTATGAATATCGAACACTAATAGAACTCATGTATAAAGACAAAAAACGACACATTATGTATAGTATTGGTGTTTATTCTCTTGACAAGAATGGTAAAGTTTACCGCAAACAAAAAACTGGACTTAAAAGTGTTATGTTGGAATTTGGAAAAGTGAGTTCTTTACTTTTATGTCTCTAGCAGTTTTTTTTTCTCTATTAGGATTTCATTTTGTTCGCAAAATATTAAATTTACAACTTTTCCAACAAGAAATATATCGATATGAAAGGAATTTGCCCCATTAAGCTCTTTATTGTTTTATTCTAAGATTAGGCATTTTATTTTGCCCTTAAATGTTATATTGTGGAAATACCAGAAATGTCAGAATGTTGGCAAGGCCAGAAAATTGTTTTTTTTTTCTTCAGGTTTTAGGTTTTAAAGGTAATCAAAATTAAAACATGCATTACTCAATTAAAATATTAATTAAATAAATAATAAATAACATCAATTTTTGTACAATAATGATTTGCTTTTATTTAAATAACATTGAATTGAGCGAAGAATGTTTTGTATGATAAAATAAATATCACTTAAAAAATATCTTTGGAAAATTAAAAAGTAATACATATGATAAATTGATCTTCATGAGTTACAAAATTTTTTTCTCCTCTTTTTTTTAATTATGGGAAAGACATTTAGACATTTTTTATTCTAAAAAATAGTCTATAGTTACTGAAATCTGTTAGATTATCAGAATTATATTTATACTAAAATATAAAAAAAAAAAAGTAGTTTGAATTTTCTTTAAAATTCATATTCAAAAATTTATTAATAATTAATTTTATACTCTAAAGAAATTTCAATAATGAATTACTGTTTTTTTTTTTTTCTTTCTCCAAATCCGAATAACTGCAAATAAATGAAGCTTTGAAAAATCATTGTTTGGAAGTGAGCCGTGAGAGGAAATTTTTACCTTTAACGCTGAAAGGGACACCAGTATGTCCATGTTGGTTTTCCGAACCCTAAATTATTAAAAAGCTGACTATAATATTTTTCATTTATTATTTTTATTTTATATTATTTAGGTGCCTAGAAACACTGTGTTATTTAAGCAGCTATTTTCATGCTTTAAGCTACTAAAAGCAACTAGTATTTTGTTCATTCTTTTTTTCTGTGTGGCAACCCTGTATTATTATATAGCTTGTATTTTATATACAGTATATATATATTTTTTTCTTCTGTTTTGCATTATTATCTAATTATATTTGTCTTAAATCACTGAAATATTATTAATAATCTTCAGAGTTCTCCCTAGGAATGAAAAAGGCAGGGTGCTTTCTCATAGAAAAGAGCACTCACCCCCATTAAAATTTATCAGAAGAAGTTAATTGAAAGGAAAAAAATAATAATTAATTGATAAATTTTTTTTTATTATACTGTAAGTTGAAAAGTATGAGGAAATGAACAGTTAAAGGTGCATTTTTAAATAAAAGGTACTTATTTAAAAAAATAATTCTGAAATTGAAAATAACTAAAAAATTCATTTACATCCTCCCTCCCCAAAAAGAGAAACCATAAATATTATTGTAAAAATAACTATAAACTGAGATAATTTTACGAGTGTGTAATTATTATTAAAAAGGTATTTATTCAACAAAACTAATTCTGAAATTAAAAATAACTAATAATTCATTATAATCCCCTACCCTGCCAAAAAAACTAATAAAAATTTAACCAGTTGAGAATAATGCTAATAAAATAAATATTTGCGCTAATATTGCTAATAAAATAAATATTAAGCTTGCTTAACAAGTGAACTGATTAGAATTAGATTTTAGTTACTTCCTGTTATTTTCAATATGTTAGAAAAATATACTTTTCCTGAAAGAAATCTTAACTCTGGTTAACAGTTAAAAAACTACGGTGTGTCTAGGTGAATCTATTGAGGACACCAGGTTTTAATTGGTGTGAAGAGATTATCATTTATTTTTTTCACAAAGGGCAAAGGTGATGTGTTTATAGTTATGAAAGGGTGTATGCCCCTTCTAAAAACGCTTAGGGAGAACACTGAATCTTTTTAAAAGAACTTTTTTTTAATACTAATTAACGCATTAATTTGTGGTCTCATGAACTGTTTTTAGCAAAAATCTGTTATGACTTTTGAGTGTGACATGAAGTTTCCCATCTTGTTCAGTGCCAACTTCCTAGTTACCACTCCGCCAGATATAGCCAATGAAAATAAACTTCAGGGAACAACATCCTCAGTGCAATAATTCCTGTAAGAAAGTTTCTTTTTTTTCCCTTAAGATGTTAAATTTTAAAAATCTAATGAATCTCATTTAAATTAAAGTACCTCACTAGCTAAATCTCTTTTACATAATAATTGTCAATATGCTTTTTTTTTAAGTGTTTAATTAATTGTAATACAACATAACGCATTTTTAAATATTGTGATTTATATACAGGAGATTTTTATAACGCAGAAATCTAATGAATCACATTTACATTAAAATACTTGACCAACTAAATCTCATTTAAATAATAATCGTCAATATGCTTTTTTTTTTAAAAGTGCTTAATATGTGAATAGTAATGCAACATAATATATTTTTCAATATTGGGATTGAGATATGTAAGATTTTTATAAAGCAAACTTTTGAAACACAGGGCTTTAGGTTTCATGGAATTTTATTATTAACTTGTCAAACATTTTAATTTTTACTTTGTAATCCTAACTTTTTTTATTGAAGCAAAAAGTTTTAGTACAATCTGTTTGTAATACTAACAAATTGAAGGCTGTCTGGCAAACGTCTTAAGTGAAAAAGTAATTGCGCTAGATTAAAAGACATTTAATCGAATCAAAAATCAGCCATCTATTAACACGCACACCCTGCATTAATATTTTTAAACTGTGGTTATAAAATTTTATTTCCATGTAATAGATGTGTATATTGGTTGATAAGGAGGGAAAAAATAGCTTAGTATGAAAGTTTTTAAAAGTGTCGCTATGGACAATTACAGCATCCTTTATTTTTTTTATTTTCAATCCTAACTTATTGGGAATTCTATCCTGAAACTGAATATTTAACTGTGTTTTCCTCAAGCGTTTATTTATTTACGTATTAAACACTTACATTGCTCCAAAAGGCCTCTGTAAGTTATCAGTGTTTTCACTACAGCGCGAGAACGCGAGAATCTCGCATATTTTTTTATATTCTCGCATTAAAAAATGATTACCGCGAGAAATTCGCGCATTCTATAAACCAATTTCAAAATTCGCGAATTTCTCGCATTTTGAAAAAAATTTCTCATTTGCGCCATTTAGAATAAAATCCGTTTCACTTTTCTTCCTGGATCTTTTATTATTTTCAACATCTGCCCCATTATCTAGCTTCCCTATTTACCAGTATTGTTCAGAACCTTTAAGAACAACAGAACACCATCCTTCCGAACCACGGAACCTCTTTCAGAACGCATTTCTCTGCAACCACGTGTTTACCGTAGGTAAGGTTTCTTCATGTAAGACGTTCAAATTTTTTGCTCGTTAATGTAAGATGGACAAATACCTTGTAAAGCCAATATCTTCTACTCCGAAACGGACAAATGAAAATGAAACAAATGTGAGTAGAAACGATCAAAACGAAACAAATACGTATTTGAGCAACCTAATGAGAATAGCTGATGAAAAAGTAAATGTAGAACATTTTCCATATGATGATGCAGCAAAAATATTCAATGCTTTAAAAATTAGAAGATGTTAAAAATGCATTATAATTAAAGAAATTTTTTTTTTCAAGTCTCTCTGTGTTTTTTTTTTTTTTTAATTTTTGAAATCTCACTTAACTTTTTGAAATCTGACCCTGTTTTTGAGAAAGGGTGAGAAATTCTCACCCATTTTTTTTCTGAGATGAAAACACTGGTTATACAATCAAAAACAATTCCTGATTGGTTAATTATGCTATCCCTGATTGGTTATGACGTCACGAGTGCTGAAAGAAAACATGACGCCTCCATCTGCTAAGGCTATTTCAATGCTTATTTAGTTTTGATATCACTAATATCGTCTGAACATTCTTTGTATATTACTAGAAAAAAGTTTTGTGAATTAAATTTGACAAAATTAATTTAATTGACAGTGTGGGCAAAATGAAAAAATGATTTTGAAATCGTCAAACTTTATCGCTAAAATAGTTATTCAGCTTTTCACATAGTTATTCAGCTTTTCAAAATTTATTTTTGGATGAAATCAGTGGTGTTAAAGTTCTCAGAAAATATTATTTTATTCTACTTATTTTTTAAGTTAAAACAATGCTCAATTATAGCCTAATTACTTAATTAAAATCAGTCGGAGATAGAATAAATATAGGGTGGATGATTTTATTATCCGGTATTGCATTAAAAAATCCGTGTTTTCATAAATCTAGTCTAATGAAAAACAACGATCCATCATTGTTATATGTGCTAATTTTAAATATACCAGTAATAAAATTTCGATTTTTTTTCCTTCCTTTTACTAGAGTTATTTTTATTTTTTTTAAAGTAAATATTTACTAATGCAGCTTATTTTTAATTCTTTCACTATGTATTAAATATTTAAATACACAAATTCTGAATAAATAGGAATTTAGTTATAGTTGGAAATTATTTTTATTTTTAAATTTATAAAATTTAATTCCTCTTTTTGCAATATAGTATCTACAAAGTATGGTTATTGATAACTTTTCTCCGTATTTCTGCAAACTATTTGTGAGTGTTTGTGAAGAAGAATTCTAAAATAGTAAAATTAATGCATTATACATTTTAATCAAAAGAAATTTAATTTAAATAGGTGAAAAAAATCTCAAATTAATCATTCGGTGCTGAAAATGAAGCAGCACTTTCACGAATCTACTTCATTGAAACATATCTGTCCATCATCATAATCACCGTTACAATCTTATTCTTAAAATTTCACTTAATGAAATTTAATTAGCCACATAATTTCAGAGAATATCATTAAGCTAGACGTTTTTGTTTCATTAAAGCTAAAGAATTAAAAAAAATTCTCCAAAATTAAAAGAAATTCTAATTTTGATATCGTCCTCAACATTTTTATTCTTTGAGTAAATAGGAATTTTGCTATATCGAATTTTTTTTTATATATATATTTATACAATTTAATTCTTGTTTCTGTTTTGCAGAACTAAATAAATGCATATTCTTTATTTAAATACTCTTAAAACATAGATTAATGTTAATTAAAATAATGTGAATTAAATCAACTGGAATAAATTAATTTCTTTTTTTTCTTTTAATTTATTATTTTTTTCTTTTTCCAAAATCACAATGATCATAATTTTTTCCAAAAGACTGCTGCAATGCTGAAGATAATTCCCTGCATTAAATTCAAACTAGAATAAATACATAAACAAAATTAATAACTTAAGCTTTCCTATATTTTTAAAAGTTAAAACTATTCTTTATAAAAAATTTATTCAACATTTTTTTTCACTTAAAATGAGAATAAATCTTCCAAAGGAATTTGAAATATATTTTTAAATTAAGATTGACACGGTTAAAAAAAATGAAAGAACAAATTTATTTTGTATTTGTAAGGCATCATTTTTATAAGTTATATCAGACATCCATAATTCATGCTAACACCTTTTTTAATGAACTAGAAAATTTCGTCAACTATTACCAATGTTATAGTGTATACCATTGAAATTTAAAATATTATAAAAATACGTTGTATTAAGCCCACATTTTAATTATAAATTAGAGCACAATTTATTATACATATCTTCGTTCTCACATAGTTATTTACCATCTTAAATAGTTGGATTTAATTACGAAAATTCAAACGAAACCAAGAACGCAATGGCTTTCTCACCACAGTGACTATAAACGAACGGCAGATGGGCACGGGTGACGTCAATTCATGAATAATTATGCGACTTCCCGTTTCAGACTAGCACGAAAGTGTTTTTTCCTTAAGAATAGCTAAATAATTAGTGCTCTTAGAAAAGTAATGAAATGTTTTCTGGTAGTTTTGAGGGATTCTGAATCCATTAAGATTTTTTTTAAAAATTGACTGTAACTGTCCATTCAATGCATTAGTTCTATTAATAAATAGTTCACTAATCTGTAAGCTCTTATTATTTTAAATTAATTTTTAAGAAAGAAAAAGAAATATAGAAATAAAAATATTTAGAATTTTTTGTACGGTAAATTAGGTGGGAATTATAGAGGCTACACGAAAAATAAAAGTAAAGAAACTGAAAGAAATAAAACTTTAATAACTTGTGATGATTTCATCATTTTTGACAAAAACTATCTTTCGATTCCACTTTCACGATGCAGTTACTTTCGTTGCAATAAAAACGTTGTTAGCACTGCAACACTGATGCTTATTTTTCAGTATATTTTCAAATTCTGTTACAAGAAATTTATTTACTATCTTTATTTTTTTTTTATTTATTTGCTTTAAATGCTGATTACTAGAGCCCGGATTTTGATGACCTAAAAAATCTCAACTAATGCCCTTAAAAAGTGCAAAAAATGCCCTTAAAAAGGGCAAAAAATGCCCTTAAAAATGCAAAAATTGCGCAAAAAATGCCTTAAATAAAGTAAAAATATTGAATTAAAAAAATGTTTTGCTCTTTAAAATTATTATGAGTCATTTAAAAAATATAAAGCAATGCAATACTTGTTCTACGTTCATTAAAGTTTGAAAAATATGTTTTATATCCTAAAATAACAAAAAAAGGAAAATATATTGACACCAAAATATTTTTATTTTGTATAGAAACTTTAATGGATATAACAACTTCCATCTCATAATATTACTAAATATCAGAATTACATTGGATTATTAAATGTTTTTTGATAATTTGAAATGTAAACGAGCGTCTCTTGTCTGAAAGTAAATTTTCATTCCTGCAGAAGCTTCTTTCAACGTCTACTGATGTTATAGGTGTGTACTTGAAAAAGACGGTCTCACTTACTGACAATTCTTCTTCAATTTGAAAAGATTTTGCTTCACCCGTTAATATCCTATAGCTTTTCTTCATTGTTTGGAAGCCAGTGTAATAATGAAAATTGATACAAAATAATAAAAATTGGAAAAAATTAACCAAAAACTTTAAAAAATGCATTAAAATGCAAAATACGCCCCAAAATTTAAAGAAAAATGCCCTATAAATCTAAAAAAATGCTCTAAAAGACAATAAATGTCCAAAAATGCAAAAAAATGCAAATGTCATCAAAATCCGGGCCTTACTGATTACTTTTTCATTC